CACACACTACATTCCTTGTAAGAAAGCACAAACACACACTCTCTACAGCCCCTACACACACTACATCACGTATATATATACACACACACACACACACACACACACACAATAGCCTGTATGCACACACTCACAACATCCCCTATACACACTCAGCCCCCTATACATACATTTTCTACAGCCCCTAGCCACACATATTACACCACAAACACGACTGAAATCGACCTCTAAATAGATTTACACACCACACACAAAGCACACACAAAGCACACTCACAGAGTGAGTAAATAAATATTTTTTTAACCCTCTACATGCTGGGAGGGCTGGGAGGGAGGGGGGACCAGAGGCTACTCTAGTGTTAAGAATACAAATTTGTATTCCTAACACTATAGAGTCCGTTTAGTGGATCTGCTGCTAATGTCTTGGTGCCGACATGTTCAGAGGTCTTGTGGAGTCCGAGTCCATGCCTTGACATATCAGAGCTGGTTTGGCAGCACGCGGGACATCTAGCATTTATAAAACATTTCAGAGCATTAACACAGCAGGTGGAGCTGGAAAGGAAACATTATAGTAACAGGCTTGGTTTTATGAAACCAGCTGCATTCCCAGGCACCACCAAGATACATGCTAGTAATTTGATCAGACAAAACACAGTAACACTAGGTGAGAAATGTTATTAATATTTAATGCATATCAGTTAACATTAAGGAAATTCAAACAATAAGTGATTATACTGTAAAAAAAAGTGTTGGAACACTAAATGGTAGTGTAACAGCACAATTGTTTCCTAACTTCCTTTATGGAGGATCTACTGTCTCCTATTTAATTACAGAATTAGGTGCAAATTAAAACAAAATTAACTAATTAAATAAAACAAATTGTATTTGATAGTCTAAGTCATTGTCTAAATAAAACAAATTGTATTTGATAGTACTCTTAATTACTTATTTAAAGAAGCATCATAAATATCCTTTGCTATTTAGAGCACCATTATTACTGTATTTTGTATCCACTTTTATTATATTCTATCTAGTTAGCTATATGTCCTATTGTTGCCAGTACATAGATCAAATATAAATTAAAGGGACAATTCAGTCTTACACCTACCCACAACATATAGCATCATAACCACTACAGTTTTACCTAATATCTGAGGTTCACCGGGCATCGCTCTGTGCCTCTGCCACTGCTGGAAATGAGAGCCAGATACTGCTATGCTATTGGTATGTAATGCAGGGCCTGCTCATTGACTTAGGACACACTCTTCACACATAAAACCTTTTACCAAGCTAAAGTTCCTTAGGGGTCTGGAGTGATCCTTTAAGTTATGGACTAAACTTTGGAAGATACTCCACCGGATTTGTTTAACTTTTGTTTACATTATTCATTCACTATAACAATGCCATTTTTAACCATAGTTTACTATTGTAATAGTTTGTGCTTGCAGTTACATGAAGTTATTAATATTTTGGCTGAAAGAAAGAATTTAGTTGGCAAATATATATATATATGTATATATATATATATATATATATATATATATACAAGAGTATATAGTTCCTACTAACTATATCAGATGATCTTCCAGATGTTTGACATCACAGTCAATCACTTCCTCATTCCCATCACATGTTACCAGTTACTGTAACTATCCTATTAATTCTCTCTGCCATCACCTCCAAATTCCCCCTGCTACCGCTTGTCTCAACTCCCCATTTTAACCTTCAGATTGTAAGCTCACAGGCTATCTAGCAAAGTATTCTGTATAAAAGATCTCCAGGGGCTAGATCTTTGCTCACAGACAGAGACATCTTAAATGTTTGTATTGTTCTGTTTATATTGTATTGTCTTTTTCCCAGTTGTAAGCACTGTGGAATATGTTGGCACTTTATAATAACAATAGCCAGTAATAAATAAATACAAATATATTAGCCAGATGATTTAGGAAGAGTCTGGTGAGAATGGGCAGCAGTCCACTATTTTCACTTGATGCTCCAGTGAATTGTTTCCATGATGCGCTCTGGAGGATCCCTTCAAAAAAGCAACAGTGTGAATGCGATAAATCCTTGCACCCAAGGATATAAACTTCTGAGTAGTGTTGAAAATATAAGTTTATTGCAATTCCAAATTATTATTTTTTTACAAAAAACAATGCATTGAATCTAGAAGCACCTCTAGTGGGTGAGTAACTGCCACTAAAAGTGTCACTTGGCACCAATTAAACACTGCCTTTTCTTTGAAAAGGCAGAGTTTACATCGAAAAACCTGCAAGAACACACTATAAAATCCAGAATCGCTACATCTAAATTAAGTTGTTGCGGTGCCAGGAGGCCCCTGGAGTTACTCTTACCTCACAGGGATAAACCTTCACGAACAGTTTAACCCCTAAGTTGCCTCCAGCACCGTTTCTTTCTCCAAGCCAGTTTAGTGAATGGGGAGTCACTGATTGGTTGAGAGCATCAGCTGATCACTCTCAGCCAATCAGCTGCACCCCTGCCCACCGGCACTCAGCACTTCCTGTAAGTGAAAATTCTAATGCCTGGTGCCTCGCTTTCACCATATATTAAGAGCAGATAAATATATACATATATATGTATGCACAGTATGTATGCAAATTATATCTAATAAACAACACTATTTATTTGAATTTTCCTGATAGTAGTACACTCCTAGGAGACTTTTCACTATTTATTCACATTCTATTAAATCTTATGAGTTCATGTATGCAGTGTAACTTTTGACCAAAACTTTTGTCATGGTTGATATTTAGGTAGCATAAAAGTAAATGTTTTCATTCTGTTACCCCAGACAAAAAGTCTGGATGTTGACTAGATACAGTATGTGTAATCGCATCTACATGTAAATCCAAGAGAGTATATTAATTACCTTTGATCATTCACTTATACACAAGGATCCTATGCAAATGTACGTAAGTTGCATGGAGCCATGTGTATAAGTGATGTCATGTGCACTGGCCATGTGACACCTGTAATGTTATAAATATGGGTCTACAAAACTCATATATGTGCGGTAGATGTCTATGACAATCACTGAGTCACATGCAGTAGTGCTGTTAGTCCAATTTAATTAATTTATGTATTTACTTGTTCTTGTGAAGAATTGTTTTTCCTTATATCACGTCTACATAAGTATTAATTCAATTATTAATTCATAAATGTATTGAGATAATTATGGTAATTTGTATGCCATGGTGTCACTTTAATAGGGACAATTGCTTTAAAAATTAAAAATGGGTACTTCTTGCAAGTTATATCTAATTAAATGTCTCAAGTACACAAGTTATATCCCACTGAGCTATTGTGATAAAAGACCATATGAATAGACCAAGTAAATGAAATGCGTTCTAAGCAATGAGTATGAATAGCTGCTAATCTATAGGTGTTAGAAAAACAAACCACAATCTCACATAGCATTGCCTCAACTTCACCTTCCTAAGAATATTAACATTTAATGACAAGCTTACATGACTGCATTGCTCGGTCACTAAGCAAACACAATTACAACCTGTAAAGTATTTCTACGGAAATACTTTTTTTGCCCACTCACTAGTGTTACACAATGTGAAGAATATTGAGTACAATTCCAAGATATAATGGGGGTCAGAAGTTTCTGGGTTTGCCTGATATGAATTATTTAATTATGTTATTATTATTATTACAGTCCCATGGTGTGGAAAAGTGTGAAATGGAGAGACAGAATCTAATTATTTTGTCAAAAAGATTTTGTTGTACATTGCAGAATGCAAATTCAAAAGGGTAAGGTCTTCATATCCTAATGTGGGTTAAGAAAAAAAAATGTAAATACATAAAAAAAATGAATTAAGATTAAAATATGAATGTTGCTTAAAGGACCACTATAGGCACCCAGACCACTTCAGCTTAATGAAGTGGTCTGGGTGCCAGGTCCAGCTAGGTTTAACCCTTTTTTCTATAAACATAGCAGTTTCAGAGAAACTGCTATGTTTATAATAGGGTTAATCCAGCCTCTAGTGGCTGTCTCATTGACAGCCGCTAGAGGGCTTCTGCACTTCTCACTGTGATTTTCACAGTGAGAAGACGCCAGCGTCCATAGGAACACCTTTTAACACCTTCACTACCAAACGGTTTGTAGAAAATTCACCCCCCGAGAATCAGAGTATTTTGGGTGTCCTGGAAAGTAATGTTTAAATGTATTTTTAATTTTTAATTTTCAGTTTGCCTAGATAGCCCATTCTTAATTTAAAAAATTGTGTGTGGCAAGCAGTGTGTATCTTGATGGTGGCCATCCTGTCTCCCAAATACAGGCAGCAGTACCTGGTCGTCGAGTGCCTGGAAATTATTTTGGCTAGGCACTCCACCGGTGAAGACAAAAAAAAAAAGAAAAAAAAAAGAAAAAGGTACTAAATAAAATAAATAGATAAGAAATATATATAACCAAGCACCAAATAGGTGGATAATAAAAATATTATACAACCTGAGAAAACAATACAAAGTATTCTGTAAAATAAGTAAAAAATATATATGGTGTAGTATGTTAAATATAAATATCGGGGTGAGGGTGGTAGAGAACTCACTAGCTGGATCGATATACTGGCAGTCAGCCACAATTATCAACTAAGTATATAACCCTGCTTGTCTTCAAACACTACCATCAAAAACATTCATTAATTCATACAGGTAAATAAACTGAGAAAGTGTCACTGAAGAAATGCATGTTACTAATTTAATATATATATATATGTGTAAAATCTACAAAATTCACATTAAGGTATTTCAGTCCTTTATAAAAAAAAGATTTAATTTAAATTTTTTATGTTAACAAATTATTTTAATGAAATACAATTTTTTTTTCCAGATCTAAAAATGCTCATTCCAATATTATCTAAGATGATAAATCATAAAGATCTGTTTAAAGCAACATAACTAAAACAGCTGTCAAGATTTTTGATAATAGCAAAACATATTCTTTCCAGTCAAATGATGTCCTATTTTGTAATTCTGCTCTTAACCTCGTTGACCCACTTGAGGTTTCTGAGATGTTCCAGATGGACCTGGTGGCTTTGTCACAGCTATACGAGGAGGGACTTCCAAGTTCTTTGCTCCAGCATTTTTTTTCCCTGCCTCACCACCTCCCTTTTTATCTAAAGAACAAAAAACATACAGTGATATAAATAGTTTTGTAAAACATTTAAAATTATATTACGGAAGAAAGAAATGTTTACATATGCAATTTTCAAATAATATTTTACATATCTATTTTATGTATATTTTCCCACTATTTTTAAAGTATGCCTCTTCTTTAGAAAGAAAAAAAAATGATTTAAAAAAAAAAATTATGGTCAAGATATGTCCCACTTTTTTCCTGTGCAGAACCTGCATGTTTTAATATACAACACACACGTTTATCTGTTTGAGCATTATGGGAGATCTGGAGAGCCAGAGGTTGCCTTCTCCTGATCTAGGCAGGGGCACTCATTAAGTATATAGTGCAGAGAAAAGGTGATGCTAAAAGTAAAATTGAACTTAAAAGGGCACTCCACCTCCCAAATCGCCCCAAAAACAAATCATTATTTAGTAATGTTTTAAGTATTGAGCGTGTGTATCCACAACTCACAAAACTGTGAGAGTGGAACTCATATAGGTCAGAATGGTGGTTCCAGATCCACCAAATAGAGGGCCTGTACCCGAAATAGAATATATAAATAAAAAATGACAAAGTCTTAATAAAAATGAAATTGTATGCGTGTCAACGCCTCCGTGGGAATGGAAACGCCTATCTATGCGTCCGATCCCACGTATGTCTGTGGAGGGGGGTGGAGTCAAAGGCCACGTACGTCACAAAAGGCGTTGACACGCATACAATTTCTCCACCTACATCACGCCTCTCTACACTTACCGAGAAAATTTTGAGACGAACATGATTGGCTACTAAGGATTTAAAAGTCAATCTCCCTCACAAGGTATTTCTTAGCCCCTTAGACGAAGGTGCATCAGAAGCACCGAAACACACGTCGGGTTCACATCTAGCTTACACTCTCTTCACGAATGGTGGCACTTGCTTGTTAAGCACTTTAGCTGTATTCCGTTTTCAGCACTGAGCTATCGAATTGGAGGGGGGACAGGCAGCAATATCCATTCTATTTTCTCTCTCTTTCTCTTTTTTTTTTTTTTAGGGACAGTATAGAACACCCTTGAAGGTGTTTGTTTTAGGAGTTGCAGGGAATATATATTTCCTGCTCTATATTTTCTCCTTTTGTATATGCTGTTCTGTCCAATTATCCTGATTGGGTGGCTTTTTGCCTTTTTATATATTAGTGGGGACAGCACAGAATATTGAGTGCTCAGTATAGAACACTCCAATATAGGAGTAATAGGGCAGATCTATTTGACACCTATATATTTATATCCCCTTATTTGACGTTTTGACTGCCTGCCTCTATTACTATCAACTTTTACCTCATTGTTTTGAGGTTAGATATCATATTCCTATTTTAGATTTTGGTCCTCCCCTCCATAGATATTTGATCCATTTTTTTCTACTTCACTAATTTTGATTTTGATAGTCCATCTATAGTGCCATTTCGTCTTTCTATAGAATCCCAATAAAGTATTTTAATTTTATTAAATTTTTGTGGCACTTATTTGGTATCTATATATAAAATATACAATATACCATATTATAGATTAATGGACAATCTTTTTTTACTAATGCTCAGTGCTGGTTTCTTAAAGTTACAATATGTATTAAGTATCCCTTATATTGTTTAAAAACCAGTTCTCAGTGTCATTTTTATTGAGACTTTATCATTTTTTATTTATATCATTATTTAGTAACTATAACCACATTGAAAACATTAATGCATTTAATTATGCATTTTTACATTGGTGGTATATAAAAAAGCAGCTTGCAACAGTGGCAGATCTATTGCCTGATGCCTTTGCAAGCCCACCTTTCTAACCCTGTCCAGACTTTATATGGCTGTCTGATCACAGACTTGTAAATGCAGATTAATGAGTTATTACTAGGCCTGTGCTTTGGGCAGTTGATGCCTCTTGAATTTAGCTCCACTGAGCTACCCAAACCAGGAAGTAACAGGATGTGTTGTCTGACAGCCGTGGAGATAAAACAAAGTTAATTTATGAAAGTGCCATCTCTATTTAATTCTGAACTTTTTGTAGAATGGAAAAAAAGAAAGTAGACTAATCACACATAAAGCACTTTAGCAATGTGAAGTGCTTTGGGAATCTTTAAATGCTAACCTCCACTCATGCTATTCCTCTCCTAGTTAGGAAACAAATTACTTTGATGGGGCACCTGCTGCCCCTTTGTCTTGCATAGAGAGACTGTAAATGATGTCAACTCATCATATAGTACACAGATGTTTGGAGGACTCATTGTGTACAGTGCTGCCAGCACTTCAGGAGGAGAAGTTATCTAATACTCTAGTCAAATAAGAGGACATAGTAAGCTAAAAAAATATTTAAAATAGACACGACAGGCTTTCATATATTACCCAAATATAGATACTAAGGTTTATTTACTAGTTGCTGTAAAATAGACTTGAAGATTTGTTTCCAAATGCATGACAACTGAGACGAATTCAGGCTGACTGGGTGATCAGTAGAAATCCACCATGAGAACCTAGGGAAAAATAACTCATGAAAGACTTAATGTGTTTGGCTTGGTGCTTAATTCAGAGTTCTGTGTCTAGCAGCAGAAAAAGAGGTGGGTTGGAATGGAGAAGAGGCAGTTTTTTTTTCCTTTTGAGTGGGATCAGATAACAAGTTTAGTTTCGAGTGATGGACAAGAGGTCTTCCCAATCATGTGTATTGAATCTTCTGTCCAATAAAGAGATATGAAAAAGGATGATTGCTTGTTAGGGGACAGGCATTAAATGTTGATTTTATTCCCAGATCAAATGAAGGGACCAACAGTAGGGGGGAAAAAGGAACAAATAAACAGCTATACTTTCCTTCATAAAGAGGGAAAATAGGTCTTATTTTGTTATGTGAATAGGTCCTTTTTAACTGACCAGTCACTAGTTTATAGTTACAGTGAGCAGCCACTTGATACTCACTATTTAATAGGTATGCTCCCACCTGCTGCATGGCAGGGGGTATAGTGAATTCCTTTCATTCTTACTTTATATTAAAATTGACGCTTTAAAAATATTTTTAATCCTATATTTTGTACAGGTTTTGGATGCGAAAAGCAGTAATTTTAAAATGCATATTTAATGCATCTGAAAGATTTTTGCAGATTAGACAGCTTGGACTATTTCAAGTGAAATAAGTTTTAGTAATTGTGAGACTTGCTATTCCAGTAGGAATTTGGCAATTTTCACCCGAATTTGTCCCTTTAGACAAAATCCAGTGTTTAGTAAATTACCTAGCATCAGGCCTGAAGTAACATAGGGACTAATGGAGCTGAAGTTCAAAACATACTTCCATCATGATTCACATTCAGCAGGAAGATAGTTCCATTCCTGTTATTCTAGTGAAGGAGCAGCTGGCTAAGGCTGTAGGTCAGTGGGTGCACTTCACCATAGATTTATGGAGTATTCCAAGTGGCCAGCATGAGTTCCTTTCCTTTATGGCATACATGTAGCAGCCCCTGGTGCCTGGGCATAGTGGTAGCAGTGGATGTAGCACATGTTAAACTGGGGTGATTTTTTAGGGAAGCAGGGCTATTTATATGTCTTGCTACATGCTGAAGCACACTTCAGCAAACATCTTGCAGTCAATCAGATGAATGGTATAAAAATAGTTGGGAGAGCAGGCATGCACAAGTAGGCACATTAAGTTTGTGGTCACGACAGAGATGGTAACATGGTTAAATCTCTGTAAGATTGATTCTATGTAGGTGTGTAAATGCTTTAGGTAAAGTAGAAAAATAGTAGGATCAGGGAGTAGCATCTGTGAAGGAATTCCCATGCTCAGAGCGATATGGAGGAGGGAAGGAAAAAGACACGGATATAGTGTAGTATATTGAGATCTTAAGTGATAGTAAATGAAGGGAAAGGAATTGCACTTACAATTTTCTGGAGCCTATACTCAGCTCCAGATATGAGCGCCTGGACGGTACAATCCCCGCCTATGGATATGTAGAGGGTCCTTGGATGTCCTCAAAAAGGGGTTCTCCAGTGGTGGTAGGGTATATCTCCTTTCCAATGGCAGTAGGCCAGTATTCAGGCCAGAGTAATCTCTACCTTACCTGTCTCCTGCTCTCTCCTATGAGACAGTGCTTTGCTCTCTCCTCCAGCTCTGCTTCACTCCTACTTGATATTTCCTGTCCTAATGTTTCTAATACCCCACCTCCTATAGTCTGTAAGCTCGTTTGAGCAGGGTCCTCTTCAACCTATTGTTCCTGTAAGTTTTCTTGTAATTGTCCTATTTATTGTTACATCCCCCCTCTCAAAATATTGTAGAGCTACGGCATCTGTTGGCGCTTTATAATTGGCAATAATAATATTAATAATAATAATAATAATAACACAGTAAAGGAGGAGACTATATTTAAAAGAAGACAAACTACCATAAGAAGAGGACATGATCTTAAATTAAAGGGGCAAAGGTTTACAAATAATATCAGGAAGTAGTACTTTACTGAGAGGGTAGTGGATGCATGGAATAACCTTCCAGCTGGAGTGGCAGAGGTGAACACAGTGAAGGAGTTTAAGCATGCGTGGAATATGCATAAGGCTATACTAGCTATAAGATAAGGCTGTGAACTAATGAGAGTATTTAGAAAATTGGACAGAATGGCTCTTATCTGCCCATCACATTCTATGATGCTATGTTTTTCATAACAGAAAATTTGAGTCACAGTAATGCCAGTTTGGGACAGGTCATCCCCTTGTAAGCTCACCTTATAAACACGATGGATGGTCTCCATGTGGCTTTGCCAATAATGGCAGTGCCCCTCACTGACAGCCTCCCAGCCAGCCCATGGCCTTCAAAACTGTCCAAAATGTCCAAAGTGAGCAATTGTTTTCTGTTACAGGGAACATTTTGAATCGACAATGCTCAACAATGAATGAGAAATAGTCTTTCTAAAGTTCAATCCAACCAACTTGGGTTCACTTTGATACCTGAAGAGTCATCATTTGCTAGCAGAAATCCAATTGGCAATACACTTCTCCTTTCAAAGTTGTTTGAATTGTTTCTATTCACTACCAGATTTTACAAAACGTTTACAAATTAAATTACATTTATTCTGCTGCTGAGACTACCTGTTTTTTCTAATGCTTTTCATTGCAGTGGTTTCATCCTGCCTGACTGAGTCTTGCATTGTGGCTATGCCTGCTTCCACTGCAGATGCCGCTGGAATAAGCTAATAGAGCACTGTGTTTTTTCTACACTAAAGAACGGTCACTACTGCTACAGACTGAATATGTGGGAAAGTGTTATTCTTGTCTGGGAGGAAAAGGCCAGTGGGTGGTCAGCTGTCCACTGACTTTTTAATTTCAGTTTTGAATAAATCCTTTATTTTCAACTTAAAATGAGACTGCTCTCCATTTTTACAAAATGAAAAAAGAATACAATTAATCATTATTAAACTAAGTTCTCACACTGGTATGTACAGTAGGGTTAAGGGAGGGAAAAAGAAAAATAATATTACTAACCCTACAAGTCTAATGTTCATGAACAAGGGGCTGAAATTTACTTGGTCTGAATACCTATAACGCACATAGTAAAAATAAGTCTCCTCTCCTCCTTACTACTACTTGTACCATGAAGCAAGAGACTTCTTCCTTTCATTGACCCATTAACTGGACATTGTAAACACTCCACCCTTACTATAGAATAATCAACCTAATCATTTGGATTGTTTCAGAGGCCTATTTGCACAGTCTGCACATTGGGTCTTGTTTAGTGTGGTATACCCCCGCTTCTATTGATCTGCTGCTGAGTACCTGTTTCTGAGCTGCCAGGATTAGTGTCTCAGTACTGTTTTTCAATCCTGTATTTTCCAACCGCTGGTTTTGTAATGTAAGCCACATCCACTATTTAACCGTGGTTCACCCCATGGAGAGGTTTGTCTTGCCATGGACCTTACTCCTTTTCTACATCCTCTGGCATATCCTTAGCAATTCATCTTTGGGAGCCATTTTCATTATGTACTGTGGATTCAGTATGTGGATACTATTTGTGTTTCATCGGGGACGGTGGCCTTGACACGTATCTCCTTTCTGTCTGGTGTACAGTCTCTGGGTGCTGGAGTCCCAGCTCAATGGCAAGCTCAAAAGTCATCAGGTGCTCAGGTGGAATAATAGAGAAGAGAAGAGAAGACCAAGAAAATACCTTATCACCATGGATGGCAAGATCTGGAAACTACTCATCATGAAAGGAGAATCCCACCTGAAATCCAGCAACCAGTGACTGTACACCATCCAGAAGGAAGGAGGTCGGGACTTGATGAATATCAAATCAACAAGTATATCATGAAGATGGTTCCCAAAGATGAGCTGCTAAGGGAATTTCTGATGCAAAAACAGATATAGGAAGCAGAAAAGGTGGAGGTTCCATGGCAAAGCAAACCACTATCTGGCAGATAGTGGATGTGGCTCACATTTTGAAATCCTACCAGTGAATGCAAGACTGAAAGACATCACAGGGGCACTAATCCCAGCACAAGACAAAGCACTTAGCACCAGATTAACAGAAGCAGGGGTTATACCACACCAGACAAGACCCAAGTTGCAGACTGAGCAAATAGGCCTCTGAGACAATCCAGCATACAGTAGCTGGGTACAAGCATACACTGGAATGCACAACCTAGTTGCTGGGATTGTTTACCAAAATATCGGCACAGAATGTGAGCTGGACCCACCTAAGTTCAGATGTGATGAGATACCGTAAAGGGTAGTTGAGAATGACAAGGTTATAATCTTGTGGGACTTCCAGATCCAGACAGACAAGCAAGTAGTGGCCAACCAACCTATAATTGTGTTGGTTGACAAGGAACAGAAAAGACTGCAGTGGTGGTGGATGTGGCAATACCCTGTGACCATAACATCAGAAAGGAGAACCTGAGAAGGTTCTGAAAGAGGAGCTAGAAAGGATGTGGAAAGTAAAGGCAGGAGTAGTCCCAGTTGTGACAGGAGGACTCAGGGCTGTGACCTCCAAGTTGGGGGAGAGATCCCAGGTAGGACATCTGAGATCTCTGTCCAGAAGAGTGCAGTTCTAGTAGCAGCTAAGATACTGTGTAGTACCCTCAAACTCCATGGCCTGTGGTACAGAATCTGAGAATGTGTAATACACAAAAATACCACTCGAGACGAGAAAGTTAATTTTTTTATATGTCTGTGTGTAATTTTCATGAGCTACATATTTTTAATATAATTCTAATATATGTGATTGTCTGCAAAGTCACATTTTCCTGTGTTGGTGCTAAAATGTAACAAAAAAAGCTAAGAACTGCTATGAACAGTAGTTAAATAAATATAAATGTGGTTGCTTACAAACACATAATGTGCTTGCTGCTGATGCTATGTATGAGGGTTCTTAAGAAACCTACCTGGGGAATTGCCTGATTCCGTTGACTTAGAAGATGGAAAGGGTGATTCATTTTGTACTTCTATGACTTTTTCTGCTGCTTTCTTACTTCTCTTTTTATTTTCTTCAGCTTGCTAGTTTACAGACAAGAGCAATGTACCATATTTAGTATTAATAGCCTATGAAATGAGCTCCAGCTAAAATAACTTATTCATGCTTACATTTTGTAGCTTCTTCTTCAGTTCCAAATTTGATGCCTGGTATGCTTTTGATGTGGCATTTAGGTAATATATACTCATGCTAGAAGATAAAAAAATATAGGCTAGATTGAAGAAATCACAATAAAACATAATACATAATATAATATAATGTTTATCTATCTCTACATATAAGTATGTACCTACTGTTAAAACTGATTAGGACACTTACAGTGTTCTCTGCTAAACTTAATTCCAGTGAATTAATTTTAAATTGCAAAACTGAGGTTAATTAACCAAGTCATGTCTACAGATGAGTTGAAGATATTTTTCACAAATCAGCTATGTTATCCTTAATTTGCCATTCAGATTGAATTTGCTAAAATTAAAAATGTTGTGAATGACCCAGTTAGTGATTAGAAGAAGGCATTCTATATACTATGCATATATATATTGTACTAAACTTGAGCATCCATGCATATGGAAATTCAGGTGGATTTCCAGAAATGTATTCATTGATTTCAATCATGCCAGGCAGAAATTGAATAAAAAATATGTTGATAGTTCATCAATGCAATTTATCTTTCGCCAGTGTTATGAGAGAGATCTGAGCTCTTTCCTAAATCCTTTACCCGATTTATGATAGATGAGAGGATAATAACTTGAGCAGGTAAAAAACTCTGCCCACCCACCACCCACCCGTTACCACAAATGTGGTAAATAGTAGCCTTCAGCCATGGGCTGTGGAATAGTAAAACAATGCAGAGGGACAGAATTGGGCTGTGGCAGGCTAGCTATTTTCTCTGTAAGGTAAACATGTATTGCCTTGGAATGTAAAACAAAACATAACATAACACAAGCATAGACTTCATTGTGAGAAAATGGGAATGGATATTTCGAAGACATTTTAAAGAAAATTAAACAAAACCCTGTAGTAGGGAAACATAATTTGTTTAGCATATAAACTCTAGTTAGCAAAAAAGCTCTGTAAAGCTTGGCTGTTGTCTTTAAAGAAATACCCTTGAAAACATTTTTGTATCTTAACAGTTTAGTAGATATACGCCCAGGTAAAACACACATGTAACTCTGTAGCTTAGTTAAATGTACCTTACAATTGCTGCAGATTTTGTATCTGCACCTACTGCAAGAATTCCCATTTTGATCAATCAGAGGTTTTTCACTTAGAAGCCTTGGGGACCAGCCGCACATGTGTTTAATTGGCAGCTCAAAAGGTGTAACTGGGAATAATCATGAAAGTGCTGATTTGATTTAATAGAAATTATGAATTGAGCAATTGAGAATACACCAGAAGCGCATAATCAAGTGAGAACATTCTAGGTGTTTTAGAGTGTTCCTTTAGTGCCATAAATATTACTAATAATGATTTAATCACCTAGGATCATGTCAGCATTAAAATAAACTGAAATAGTTTTGAAAAATTTTGATTTGCTTGAATCAGCAGCAGTATAAGCCAGCGAGATGAAAAATCTTGCTGATGTTTCTTCATTGCATTTTGGACATTTCCCCTCCCTTCGATACTATGTGAACACTGAAGATCAGCGTGGGATCATTAATACTTCCAAAACCACTTATTCTGAATCTTCAAGAAGCTACTAATTTTCACATCACCATTTGAATGTCAAAAATGCTATGCATGAAAAATGCAGATAGCCAGATTTTATCTTTTTTCAGGCAAATAATGCTTTCAAAACTTCATTTTTTAATAAGAGTACATGCATCCCTGCCTAAAACACTTGTCTACACTGAAGATTTTGAAACAAATAGCAAAGATAAGTGTTGGTGATATAGTGGTGAGCATAGCTGCCTTCCAAGCCGTTGCCCTGGGTTTGGTTCCCGGCCAGCGCAAGAGAACCTGATTTTACAACGCTGTGGTCACCAAATTTTGTATAGCTTGGAGGAAAGACAAGGCAGTGGGGATATGATAGAAACATTTAAATACATAAAGGGAATCAACACAGTAAAGAAGGAGACTATATTTAAAAGAAGGAGAACTACCACAACAAGAGGACATTGTCTTAAATTAGAGGGGTAAAGGTTTAAAAATAATTTTAGGAAGTATTACTTTACTGAGAGGGTAATGGATGCATGGAATAGCCTTCCAGCTGAAGTGGTAGAGGTTAACACAGTGAAGGAGTTTAAGCATGCGTGGGATAGGCATAAGGCTATCCTAGAATTAAGATAAGGCCAGGGACTAATTAAAAGTATTTTGAAATATTGGGCAGACTAGATGGGCCGAATGGTTCTTATCTGCCGTCACATTCTATGTTTCTATGTTTCTATGATGTACCAGTGCACTTATGTAACACATACGCATACCCCTTCAGCACCATGTGGGCTACTTCATTTGAATTGTATGTTTGGAGTTCACCAGGACCGCCTGTCATAACTGACATTTAAAAAAAATGCTTTGTCAAGCTTATACATACACCATGAGCAGGATGAAAGGCAGAATAAGTCCAGGGTTTGAGGCGTAGCCAAACACTTTTGCAAACCAAGCTGGGAAATCATGTTGTAAGGTCTCCTGTATGACTTCAAACATTCTCTGCTTTCCACTAAATAGGAAGAATGCAGTTATATATTTAAAGACTTGTATAAACAGAATGAACACTGCAGTAAACAGAGAAATAGAAGGATATTTGTAGTGTAGAAGCATCAGAAATGTAACACCAGAGTGCACGAGAGTCCATTGTAAGTCAAAAACAAACAGTACAAATGAAAATAGAAGCGTACCCATATTTAAAGAATGCAGGAGAAACACGTTGGCATTATCATTTTCTGTGGAGTTTGAAGACACCGCAGGGCAAGCAAGTAGCAGAATAAAACAGAAAATGTTCAGTGTAATCAGAAGAGAGAGTGGAAACAGAAAGAAAAAAAAAAGAGGGGATAAGCTGAGCCATCCGGAGCTTAAAGGCATGCAACATGGGCCTACAGAGACAGTGTGATTATGGACTAGTGTTTAGGAAGAACAGCCAGGTTCTCCACACATGAAGGACCTCCTGTACTTTAGGCAACAATTTGCTCTTGCATCTGGTGAATTACTTCTACATGGCCTAAACAATTCCAGTAGGAGGGTCCACCTGATTGCAAACATATTTGAAGAATTTATACAAAGAATTTGATTTAGAAACTGGGGTTTTATTGAGTAATTTAGCAGCTGTGGATCAATGACAAGTAAATTGTACATTTTAGACCAAAATAGCTGAGCTGGAAAAGTATCTTGTATATTTTTTCCTATTTGGCTATTTTGACTTAAAGTGATACTCTACACCCAAACATCTTTATCTTAATTGATTTTAGTGTATATAGCATATCATTTAGTGTATAGGCCATAGCCACACCTCCCTTGGCTTTGACTCACACAATGAGATGTTACAGCACAGTGTGTTTATTTTATAAGGCTTACCTCCTGTTAATTGAAGTTTAAACAGACACATGGGGCTTCTAACCACTCTAGCTGGCTATTAATAGAGCAGGAGATAAGACATTATTAATTAAACACAGTTTGTAACAAAGTAAGTATAACAATTAGATCTATCTTTACAGGAAGTGTGTAGGGAGGCTGTGTAAGTCTCAGGCATGGCAAGTGTGGTTAGGGCATAAACAATGTGATTTAACTCGTTAATTACAAATAATTAATCTGTGAGACTGTGGGGACATTATCTAAACACCAAACCTACTCCACTAAGCTTAAGCTGTTTTGTGCTTAGAATGTCCCTTTAAACTGTATTATTTTATTCTACTCAATTCCTAGTTTAATAACTAGAGCCATTATATGTAAATGCAGCCTTCAGTTCACTATTTGACAAATTGTTCAGTTAACATGTACTGTTGCAATTAAAATCTTAAATGTAATCATTTTCTCTTGTTTTACACTGTGACTGTCATAACTATAATTGCTTAATTAATGTTGATATAAACATTTATACATTGAAACTCTTAATGGTGTTAAGATATGTCATTGTGTCATTATTCACTGTTGATTATTCACCAACTGGAGCAAAACCACTAGTTTATGCATTTAGGCCGCAAAATCCAGACATTCTTGACAATATTTATGAATGTAGAGATTTTGCAGAGCAGAATCCAAACAAGCCTGAATTTGGTCTGTATTTGAGCTGGATATAAAGATGTTAAAAATCCAAACTGTTTGCCCACTGGTTGCTAGCGTAGATAGATAAAAAAACAAAAACAAAAAAACCTCTCAGTTATGCAAGGGTTAACTATATGGCAGCTAGCCAGTACATGCTAATTAGCTGCCACATGAAAACGTTTAAAAAAAAAAAAAAAAAGCCTACTAAGGATAAAAATACGCATATGGGGGAAACTATGATTCCTATATTACTATAAGGGAGCTTTTTAAACTGCCTTATGACCCCACCTGCCATGTCGTGGGTGGAGGGATATCTACTAAATAAGTGAGTATGCGTATCTGTAAACTAGCGACTAGGCAGCCATTGCTGCCCAGTTGCTAGAAAAGCCATATGCCATGAGGATGGGCCCTGTAACATAACAGGTGGGATAGATCACTGACCATGTACTTGCCCTTACCCATGTCTAGTGATAGAAATAGAAAATTGGGGGTCGGGGGACATCTTAGTGGATGGACCTAGTTTCACTTACAGCCCCCTTGAATTAGAGGTGGATGGGGGCAATTAATTTAGTAAATGGAGGGACCTAATATCACCCCTACCCATAGGTGGTGATTGTGGGCTACTAATAAAATATAGACGGGGTGAACATTCCATTGCTTCCTCTCAACAAATTGGAAAATTGTCAAACCTCCCCATAGGGGTACCAAAGCCCCTAGTCACCCTCTTAAAAATAAATAAAAAAGTCTTGCCTTATAGAGCAATAATCTAAGAATCTGTAAAAAAAAATATATATATATATACGTACCATCAAAGGCCAACAAACCCCATTAATTCCTGACATTATAATTAAAATAATACAGCAGATTTACAAAAAAAAAAACAGACCGATACCTGTGCCTGCACCACGACCACTTTCCAACCTAATGTCACTTCATGGGCATAACACAACATTGGAACCCATGTGTACATAGTTGGGAACTATCCTACTCTCTTCATTTTCTTTCACAGACTACCCTGCTCCCATACTTTTCTGGCTTCTCTGTTCCTATTGCTCTTCTCAATCTCATTCCTTTAAGGTGTTTTCTATCTCAAGATGAAGGCTCCACTTGGCAACGAAAAGCACGATTGATTAGGCAGAGTTTTGACAATTGAAAATGGGGTCATTACACACGACCTCAATTCCAACACTACACCTTGACTAGACAATATGAGACATTAGTAGGAGTGCTACCGAATGCTTCATATTCTGACAAATATGTTACCTCCTGAAGCATGTTAGTTGCAGAATTGAATTCAATGTAATTGATGACAATAGCATGTATAACCTGTATATGGACCGTTTTACTGCTGTATATCGGTATGTCAAGAATAATATTTATAATATCATTTGTCGTGTTGAATGTTGTGTAAGCCATCACTTGTAGAGGGCTGCCTTCTGTAATATTCCTAAAGTACTTTTCTCATGTTTTATACTATATGCTATCTTGTTTGGAATAAAAAAAGAAAAGGAAATTGTCAAATTGAAAAAAATAACTGACCAAAAAATTATTACTTAATGCCATATATTTACTTTGGTTGCTTTGAGTTACTATACTGTAGATCTGTATCAGCCTCTGTTTCCATGTTTCACATTTAGAAATAAACAAAAGGATTACATAACACACTTGGACATTTAGGAAAATTATATCACATTAACATGATTAACCTCTTCATAGGGTGTTCAGAGTTTTGATGTATGAATGCCGAAAGCATTTTTGCTCTTGGTTGCATTGCAATTTCACACTTTTTCATTAAGTGCCCCCATTTATAATGTACATACTTTTTAAAGGACACATAAAGCCTTTGAGTTTTGGGTGAGTTTTAATATAGGTATCATACAGTCACCCATAGGAATTTAGTAACATTCCAAGAGGATGATATTGCCTTATTTTAATTCTAATCCAATACTAGTAAGAAGAAACAAAAATGTTTGCCTTTTATACCCTTTTATGGATTGTAGTTTGTCTTTCCTGTGTGGTGTTCCGTGAACAACTGTAGTCATTTTGTTCAAAATTATAAATGATACAAGTAGTTATCTTTAAATGTATGAACTTGGGGAAGGCTCAATATACCAAGACAATCTAGACATTGATAATGCTTTTATAGAAGCACTCTAAGCTCTAGCAGATTTGTATAGCTGCAGGTGCTTATACCTCTAAGTAATGGAAGTGATTGGTGCCAATAGATGCCAGTTTAGATGTCAAAGTGATAGCAACCAGTTTGACTGCTTACAGATGTGGGGCTGTTGGAAGCCATGGGTACTTGTTTATCATACTGTGCTACCATATTTTATCCTGTGGCACTGTCACCTGTCACCTGTGTTCTACATAGATAAGAAAGCAGTGATAGGAGTAAGGCAAGCATGTAACTAACATTTTAAAAAGGTAATGTAAAGATAACTACCTGAAAGGTCCACAGTCAAAGGATGGTGGGATTGATACTATGGTATAGATAACTGGTAACATAGCTAAGAAGAGTATAAAGAGTAACATGGCCATATAGAAGTTATTGGATCTGGAGGCTTTAAATACTCTTGCATGGGGAACATTGCAACACATAACTGCCCAACACTGTAAGTACATGGAAGTATGAAGACGAAATACATTGATAGCTGGTAGGCATGGAGCATAAAATGATCCCATCCTATAAAAAATAAAAAAAATAGAGAGAAAGGTTAAAATGTATAACCATACACTCATATTCTGTGTATATTTATTTCAGAAACACTCTTGCAACACTTGTCCTTCCCTGATTCTGCCAACTTTCCTGAGTTAGATCTATCTACCCATTTCAGATCTGTTTGTCTCTTTGGCCACTTTAGACTGTTTTCAACATTCCAAACCTCTCTTTGTATTCATATACATAATATATACATGAAAACAAGATAAGTCTCAAACTCACTGATAAATTGTTAAAAAAAAAATTATGATAATCAAGATAAATTAAAATATGAATAAAAAAATTAAGATTACACTAGTTATTTGATATCCCTATGCCTATTTCATTGTCTTCCATTACACAGTGGCTTAAAGGTGCTTTTTATATTGCATAGCATATATTTTATTGCATTGAATGTGTGAAGAACAACCCAATGAGGTTTATTTACTAAATATGAATGGTAGGAATTGATAATGAATTACAAAATTTAAACTAACGTAGCCAAGATGTGTCTGTGTCTGAGATGGAGATTTTCCATGAAGTCTGCAATTCCATTTCCAAGTCACTACCATTTTTTATATAGTGAAAGTGTTGTGGAATGTTTTTTGTCGGGTAGTTGTGGAGTGTATTTTCTATATAGAGAGTTGAAATTATTTAAGTATGGAACTTTTTAAAAATACATCCCAGCAATACACAAAAAATTAAAAGCTGTGCTATTTTATTGAGCATTGACGTATGTTGCAGGAACATGTTGTCTACATTTCGATTGTACATGCTCATTTTTACATACCAGATCATCCCTTGGTTAAAAATTAATCCCAGAACATTACCACTGATATCAAATTCACAATATGATGGCTGGAATAAAAAAAAAAGAAGAAGAAGAATTAGAGCCCATTACATTTGTTGAAAGTGTAAATTATGAGATGGTGGGATTTCATGAGAAGACGACTTTTAAAGGAATACTCAAAGCATCATAACCACTACAGCCCATTGTACTTGATATGGTGTCAGGGGTACCCTGACAACATCCCCTTGTATGTAGTCAACCCATTTTAACCCAGTTTGACAACTTGACCGTATCAGGTCTTTTTCTGTAGCAGATGCTAGATGCCTGGATTCTCCTGGAGGAGACCTTGATTCTCCTGGAGGAGAAATATGGAAACAGGGGCTGAGAGCCTAGCAGGACACTAGTTGTCAAACTGTACTAAAATGGTTTGATTACTTACTTGGGGGTGTGCCAGGGCATTCCTGCTTCCATAACAACTACATCATACCTCTTTGTGAAAACCTGTAAGCCTCTGTTCACTCTAACACAGCCCCTCTGCTATCACTCAGAAGATGCAGAAGTTTCACTTGAGCATTTTCCAGTGAAGCATTTTCCAACTTTAGATTTCATTAATAGGTTGTTAGCGCTGGGCTAAGAATTGAAATTGTTAAGAATAAAATATGCAACATTACATTGCTCCAGGGGAAATATTTTTTTTTTAATATTGTATAATCATCCAAAGATAAACAAAGAAACACACAAAGATGTTAGTTAAACATACAGAAAAATCCCTTACCCATCCATATTCCAAATCCCAACACCAACAGTAGTTAAAAAATCGAACAAATACTGCTTGCAAGAAGTCTCCAGTAAGAATAGTAATGTAAGTGGTCATAATATCAGAAACAGTGAGGCGAACAAACTCCTGTAAATATAGAAAAAAAGTAATTAACTTCCCATAAATATACATCTTAGTTAAAAAGTTTATAAATGTGATTCTCTCCAGGGAATTTGCAGCTATTTGAAGTCATACATAGAAGCAAGTTAAATAGTCCTCTACAATGCAAGTGCTGTGATTTATCATATTTTCCAAAGCAGAATAATGTCATATGTCACCAAACTTGATCGTAGATGAGGTGTGGTTATGGCAGTTAAAGAAGAGAATGAGCTAGATGCAGAATGGCTCATTGTGTGCTATTTATTATTATGTCAGCAATTCGTTTTCTTACTAAGGATTAAAAACAGAAAAAATTAGATATATTAAGTATATATTTAAGGGACACTGTAGTCACCAAAACAACTTTAGTTTAATGAAGCAGTTTTGGTGTGTAGATCATGCCCCTACAGTCTTACTGCTCAATTCACTGCCATTTAGAAATTAAATCACTTTGTTTATATAGCCCTTGTCACAGCTACCTGCATGTGATTTGCACATCCTTCCTAAATACTTCCTGTAAAGAGTCATCTAATGTTTACACTTAGTTTATTGCAAATTATGTTTAATTTAGAATTTCTTATCTCCTGATCAATCAACAGCTTTTTAAATCCTGCTGGAGCCTCCTGTATGTAGTTAAAGTTTAATTTACAGTGCAGGAGGTAAAAACTTTTAAAGTAAGTTACCATCTGATTGAAAATGAAACCATTTTGTTTTCATGCAGGCTGTGTCAGTCACAGCCAAGTGAGGTGTGGCTAGGGTTGCATAAACAGAAACAAAAGTGATTTACCTCCTGAATGGCAGGGAATTGAGCAGTGGCACTACATGAGCATGATCTATACACCAAAATGGCTTCATAAACCTAAAATTGTTTTGGTGACTATAGTGTCCCTTTAAGATATTCTGATAGGTTCAGAATTCAGTCATGTAGCAGTATATTTCAAGAGTTATCCGATGTAACTTTATAGCTTTACTTTGTTTTAATATGTATTCAGGGATTGTTTATATAATTTGTGTTTTGTCCTTAAATTGAACATGTATTTTCAGTAAGTTAATTATGTCTTGGTTTTACAAATTCACTAACCTGCCCCACCATTGTCTCCCAGCATGGCCCTCTAGGAACATCTGATGGATCAACAAAAGGGCGCCCTGTAGAGTTTTCTGAATATGATGCATTGTATAAGCTGGCTTCCCAAAGTGTCATATTATATTGCACAACCTTCTCTTCCTCTCGCTAAAATAGTTTGACAATAAAAAAAATAAATCAATAAAATAGAAATAAAACATTTTGCACCAGACAAGAAAAACACATGCATTTAATAATAGAGTTATAAAATAATTAACCTTGCTGTACCTTAAGGTTAATTTCATCCATAAGGGCAATAAGGAATGTGTACAAGTTACCCAAGAACAGGGCAAATATGCGTCCCAGCTGCCATCTTAGTGCTATTCTTGGGTGGTAATTCTCCAGTCCACTAATTACATCAAACATTGTGGGGCAAAACATTCCTAACAGAGACATAACCGTGTTCACCTTTAAAAAAAAAAAAAAAATATTACACATAAAAAACTCTAAACAAATAAATAAAACTTTGGCTTAAATCAATCTATCTATCTAGTTATTATTATTATTATTATTATTATAATTACTACAATTTATATAGCGCCAACAGATTCCATAGCGCTTTACAATATTATGAGAGGGGGCGTAACTATAAATAGAACAATTACAAGAAAACTTATAGGAACAATAGGTTGTAGAGGACCCTGTTCAAACGAGCTTACAGTCTATAGGAGGTGGGGTATAAAACACATTAGGACAGGAAATAGCAATCAAATAAAGTGGGAGTGAAGCAGAGCTGGAGGAGAGAGTAGAGTGCTGCCCTTTAGAAGAGAACAAGAGACAGGTGTGTAAGGTAGAGGTTACTCTGGGAGGCCATAAGCTTTCCTAAAGAGATGGGTTTTAAGGCACTTCTTAAAGGATTGAAGACTAGGGGAGAGTCTGATGGCGGTAGGCAGGCTATTCCAAAGGAAGGGAGCCGCCTGCGAGAAGTCCTGCAAGCGTGAGTTGGCCGTACAGGTGCGAACAGCGGTCAAGAGGTAGTCACGGGAAGAGCGGAGGGAACGAGGAGGGGCATACCTACGGATCTGTGAAGAGATATAAGAGAGGCTAGAATTGTTCAGTGCTTTATAGGTTTTCCTTGCTGGTATTATTTAAAACATTTTCCCTCCTTTTTTTTTCTTCTTTTTTTTCCTCTCTTGTTGTTTCTCTTCCCCTCCTTGTGGGTGCTGCTGCTGCTGAGCTAATTAGGGGGAGTGTCCCTTAACTTCCACCTGTGTGGGATTTGTATTGCCAATATAAACCCACTACTGACTCACAGAGCTTGCTCACTGGAGTTTGCTTGAAAGTAGGCTATTTCAAGTAGTCTCTTTTAAGTAGGAGTTAAAACAACAGGAGTTGAAACTACAAGGGAGGTAAACCAAGAGGGTTAATATTGTTTTTGCTCACTTGTGTTTTTTGTGACTGGGTATGAGTGCTAGCAAGATTGCGAGTTTAACTCAGTGCACATCATGCCGCATGTATGCATGCCTGGATGATTCTGTCCAGGATCCATACCTCTGTGGTGGGTGTGAGCGAGTGGCATTTCTGGAAGCTCAGATTAGAGATCTGGAGAGGCAAATTGTAACACTGAGGGAGACTGACAATCTTGAGAGGAGTCTGCTGCTCACTGAGCAGAGTTTAGGGGAGACAGGTAGTGGAGAGGGAGGAGATAAGACAGATGGGGAACAGGCATGTAGCTGGGTGACAGTGGGGCAAGGAAGCAGGGGGGGAGGGAAGAGAAAAGGTTTAGCTAGTCCTGATCTCATGCAGCCTAACAGATTTGCCCGTTTGAGTGAAGATGTTGGGAGCATCAGCTCAGGAGTAGCTGTACTGCCGTGGAAACAGCCCCTCTAGTACGGGTGGGATTGAGAGGGTAAGGAAGTCTAGACAGGTTGTGGTGGTAGGGGACTCTATTATTAAGAGAGTAGATAGGGTAATCTGCCACTGTGATTGACTCAACCGGACCGTTTGCTGTCTCCTGGGTGTTCGGGTCTGGCATGTTGCTGACAGAGTGGAGGGATTATTGGGAGGGGCTGGAGATGACCCAGCTGTCATGGTCCATATTGGTACCAATGACAAAGTTAGAGGAAAATGGAAGGTCCTAAAGAATGAGTTCAGGGAACTAGGAAGTAAGCTAAAGAAAAGGACCTCCAAGATAATTTTTTCAGAAATATTACCTGTGCCGCTCGCTACAGCAGAAAGGCAGCGGGAGATTTGAGAGGTCAATGCGTGGCTAAAGTCTTGGTGCAGGAAAGAGGGTTTGGGGTTTTTAGAGCACTGGGCCAATTTTGCGCTTGGGTACAACCTGTATAGTCATGATGGATTGCACCTAAACAGAAGAGGGCCTGCTGTGCTGGGGGGTAGGATGGCTAGAAGGTTGGAGGAGATTTTAAACTAGTGGTAGGGGGGGAGGGTCAAAGCAATCTAGAAAATGGAGAGAGGATGGAAAGGAGATGGGCTTTAGCTCAGAACAAAGGGGGTGGAGATGGGGGGAGGGGAAAGCTCAGAACAGAGGAGGTATGTCATATTCATAATTCACAAAAAGTACAAAAGACTCATGATAATATTAAATGTATGCTTACTAATGCAAGGAGCCTATATAACAAAATGGGGGAACTAGAGGCAATAGCATACACTAAACAATATGATATAATAGGCATAACAGAAACATGGTGGGATGAGACACATGACTGGGCAGTTAATTTAAATGGGTACACGTTATTTAGGAAGGATGGGAAAAACAAGAAGGGTGGTGGGGTATGTTTATATGTCAACCATGAGTTAAAGTCAAATCTTAGGCATGTGGAGTGTGACAAGGAAAATGTGGAGGCTTTATGGGTAGATATCTGCTTGGGGCAAACAAAGGGAAATCAATTATTGGTTGGGATATGTTATAAACCACCTAATGTAAATATTATTGAGGAAGAACAGCTGTTAGAGCAAATTAAGAAAGCTGCAAATCGAGGTAACACGTTGATTATTGGAGATTTAATTACCCAGACATAAACTGGGATAGAGGGACTAGTACTTCAGCAAGGGGAATCAGGTTTTTGAATGTGTTAAATGATACCTTTATGTCACAACTGGTACAAGCACCAACTAGAAAGGATGCTTGTCTGGATCTCGTTATAACAAACAATGTTGATCTTTTAACCAACATTAAAGTAGGGGAGCATTTGGGAAATAGTGATCACAATATGGTAAATTTTGAAATAAACTCAAAAAAGCAAAAGTAAGTGGGATATACTAAAACATATACTTTTTAAAATGCCAATTTCAATAAGATTAGGGCAGCTCTACAACATATCGACTGGCATAAACTCCTTAGTGATAAAAACACTGAGGATAAATGGAAACTATTCAAACAAATATTAGAAAGGTACATTTCTCAGTATGTACCATTGGGTAATCAATATAGAAGAAACAAATTAAAACCAATGTGGCTTAGTAGAGAAGTAAAACAAGAGATTAAAAATAAGAAAATGGCATTTAAAGCATTTAAATCAGACAAATCAGAGGCATCCTATTTAAGATATAAGGAAGCCAATAACGCTTGCAAAAAGGCAATTAAAGTGGCTAAACTAGAAAATTAGAAATTGATAGCTAAAGAATACAAAACCAAGCCCAAAATTAAAAAAAAAAGTACATCAATTCTAAAAAAACAAAAAATGTAGGTACACTGGAAACAGAGTTGGGTTTATTAGCTAATGAAGACCAGGAAAAAGCAGAAATTTAAATTAACTATTTTCTTCAGTATATATTAATGAGGATCCTATGGCAAGAGATATGCAAATGATTACTGCAAAAAACTTGCAAATAACTTGTGATTGGATAACTCGAGACGAGGTGCTACAGCTATTAAAGAAAATTAATGTAAATAAAGCTCCGGGGCCTGATGGTATTCACCCACGAGTACTTAAGGAGCGAAGTGGAGAAATATGTGAACCTCTGTATTTAATTTTTCAAGATTCTTTTGTTTCAGGTGTTGTACCATAGGTTTGGAGGAAGATGTTGTTCCTATATATAGACCTCTGAGCTTAACTTATGTAACTGGGAAAATATTTGAAGGGCTATTAAGGCATGATATTCAGGAATTCATTGGGAAGAACTTTGTTATTAGCAATAATCAGCATGGTTTTATGAAACATAGGTCATGTCAAACTAACCGAATTGCATTCTACGAAGAAGTAAGTAGAAGTATAAATCAGGGTGTTGCAGTGGATGTGATCTACTTGGATTTTGCCAAGGCATTTGATACGGTTCCTCACAATAGGTTAGTCTTCAAACTAAAAGAAATTGGTCTAGATGAATATTCTTGTTCTTGGGTAGAACATTGGCTTAAGGATAGAGTACAACGAGTTGTCATTAATGGTAAATTTTCAGGCTGGACAAAAGTGGTAAGTGGCGTCCCTCAGGGTTCTGTTTTGGGACCACTTCTATTTAACATATTTATAAATGATCTTGAAATAGGCATTGAAAGCCATGTATCAGTGTTTGCAGATGACACAAAACTTTGTAAAGTAATAAAATGTGAGCAGGATATTGCTTTGCTGCAGATGGATTTGGATAGATTGGGGGACTGGGCACTAAAATGGCAGATGAAATTTAACGTAGAGAAATGCAAAGTTATGCACTTCGGGGTTAAGAACGCACAAGCAACTTACACACTAAATGGTAGTGAATTAGGGATAATCACACACGAGAAGCATTTGGGAATTGTTATAGACAACAAATTAGGCAGCAATATGCAATGTCAATCTGCAGTTGCTAAGGCCAGTAAGGTTTTGTCATGTATAAATAGGGGCATAAATTCTTGGGATGAAAATATAATTTTGTCTCTTTATAAATCGCTGGTAAGACCACACCTTGAATATGCTGTGCAATTTTGGGCGCCTGTTCTAAAGAAGGATATCATGGCACTGGAGAGGGTCCAGAGACGAGCTACAAAATTGATCAAAGGAATGGAGCATTTTAGTTATGAAGAAAGGTTAAAAAATTTAATCTGTTTAGTTAGGAAAAACGGCACCTGAAAGGGGATATGATAACTTTATACAAATATATTCGGGGCCAGTACAAACCTTTATCTGGAAATCTATTCATATAAACAGGGCTATACATAGGACACGAGGTCACACATTTAGGCTGGAAGAAAGGAGATATTGCCTAAGGTTTTTTTTACAGTAAGAGCAATAAGGATATGGAATTCTCTGCCTGAGGTGGTTTTGTCAGAGTCATTACAGATTTTTAAACTGCAATTGGATAAATACTTACAAAAACATAACATACACGGATATAATTTCTAATTAGTGGGGTAATAGCTGCTTGATCTAAGGAGACATCGTACTGCTATTTTGGGGTCAAGAAGGGAATTTTTCCTAGTTTGTGGCAAAATTGGAAGCGCTTCAGACTAGGTTTTTTGCCTTCTTTTGGATCAATAGCAAAAACAAATGTGAGGAAGGCTGAACTTGATGGACGCAAGTCTCTTTTCAGCAATGTAACTATGTAACTATGTATAGGTATGGGTTAGCACTTTGAATTGACTCCTATAGGATACAGGAAGCAAATGTAAGGACTGACAGAGGGGTGAGGTGTGAGAGGACCAACTAGAGAGTAAAATCAGCCTGGTGGCGGCATTCATTACAGACTGTAGTGGGGCGATATGGCTTTTGGGAAGACCAAACAGAAGAGGGTTACAATAATCCATGCAGGAAATTACTGGAGCATGGACCAGCTCTTTGGTAGCATCTTTTGAAAGAAAGGGGCGGATGCGGGCTATGTTTTTTAAGTTGGAATCTACAGGATTTGGCAAGAAACTGGATGTGAGGCTCAAAGGTGAGGCCAGAGTCAAGTATGACACCAAGACAGCATGCTTGCCAGGATAGACTTATGAGATACCACTGACTTGAAGGGAGAGTGAGAGAGGAGTATCAGTATTAGGAGGAGGAAAGACAAGGAGTTCAGTTTTAGAGAGATTGAGTTTCAGAAAGCGGGAGGACATCCAGTCAGAGATGGAAGAAAGGCAAGCAGTGACACGTTGTAGGACGGCAGGGGAGAGGTCCAGGGAGGAGAGATATATTTGGGTGTCATCAGCGTACAGGTGGTAGTGGAATCCAAAAGAGGCAATAAGTTTACCAAGAGAGGCAGTATAAAGAAAAAATAGAAGGGTACCAAGGACAGAACCTGGGCAACTCCAACCGAGACAGGACGAGAGGAGGAGGTATCTTTGGAAAAGGAAACACTGAAAGAGTGTTGGGAGAGATAAGAGGAAATCCATGAAAGGAAAGAGTCACAGAGACAGAGTGATTGAAGAGTTTGAAGGAGTAGAGCATGATCAACAGTGTCAAAGGCAGCAGAGAAGTCAAGAAGAATTAATATGGAATACTGGCCTTTGGATTTAGCTGCGATTAGGTCATTAGTAACTTTGATAAGAGCAGTCTCAGTAGAGTGGAGAGGGCGTGAGCCAGACTGAAGAGGGTCAAGGAGAGAGTTGGAATTGAGGAAGCGAGACACACAGGTAAAGACAAGTCTTTCCAGAAGCTTTGAGGAAAAAGGGAGCAGGGATATGGGACGATAGTTAGAGGATGAGGACAGGACAAGAGATGTTTTTTTAAGGATAGGTATTACAGTGGCATGTTTAAGGTCAGCAGGGACAATGCCAGAAGAGAGAGAGCAGTTGAAGATGTGTGTTAGGGAAGGCACAAGACAAAATGAGAAAGATCTGATGAGATGGGACAGGATCGAGCAGGCAAGTGGTGGGCTGAGAGGAAAGGAGGAGCACAGCCACCTCTTGTTCAGTAGCTGGGGAGAAAGTCTGAAGGGTAGGAAAGGCATGATCTATGTGTGGTTGAGAAAGAGAATGGCAAGGAGGGGAGAATTCTTTCCTTAGCTGTTCAATCTTGTCGGTAAAGTAGCATGCGAAGCTATCAGCTGTAAGGTTAGTTTGGGGGGGTGGCCACAGCAGGGCGGAGAAAAGAGTTAAAGGTGTCAAAGAGACACCTGGGATTGCAGGAGCATGAACTAATGAGAGAGGAAAAGTATGACTGTTTGGCGAGGGCAAGGGCTGCGCTGTATGAACACAATATAAATCTATAATGAAGATAGTCTGCCTGGGTGCGTGACTTCCTCCAGGAGCGTTCAGCACAACGGGAGCAACTATGCAGATAGTGTGTTGATTTAGTATGCCAAGGTTGGGGTGTGTGTCCTCCTCGAGGTGCATTTTTGGAGCAGGGCTGCAGCGTTCAAGGAAGTAGGTTAGCCAGGCAGCAAAATGATCAAGGAAGAGGAGAGGGTAACCAGGGGGGCGATAGATAACGGCAATGTTAGCAGAGAAGGGTTTGAAAAGGCGAATTGAATGAATTTCAAATGATGGGAAAGAGAGGGAAGGGGGGATGGGCAGAGTTTTAAAGGAGCAGTGGGGTGTAAGGAGAAAACCTACACCGCCACCTTTATTCAATGCTTGTCTTGGATGTGGGTAAAGTGAAGACCAGCAAAGGATAGTGAGACAGGGGTAGCAGTATCAGAGGGAGAGAACCATGTTTCTGTTAGTGCAAGTAGGTTTAGGGAGTGTGAGATAAATAGGTCATGGATGGAAGTTTATTTAAAGGTGCTGCACACAGAGTGTGCATTCCAGAGGGCAGCTTTAAAGGAGGAATTATAGTGAAATTACATGGAATGGGCATTAGGTTTCTGTGGTTTCTGGCGTTTGTACCAGGTTGCTGAGTAGCGGAGGGACCAGGGTTTGGAGAGACTATCTATCTATCATGTATCTATCTACCTTACATACTAACCTCGGTACCTACCTTTCGATCTATTATTTATAATGTACAGTTTGGCTTAAATTATGTAGTAGGATTTTAGGTTCGGCAGCAGATAGACTTTCATGTTATATCTATCTTAAAGATATAAATGCATTTTATTGGTTTTCAGGTGTGTTAACCCCTTCAGGACGGAGTCAATAGTGCACGTTCTGATCAAAACGTAAACAAAAACTGGAATTTGAGCTATATGTCTGTTCAACCGTAATTCACCGCTGTCACATTAAGTGCACCCACACTTATTATATATTATTTTGTTCAGGAGAAACAGGGCTTTAATTTATCATTAACTATTCATATATAGAACATATTTTATTATGAATAAAATTAAAAAAAAATGTGAGAAAATAAGATATTTTTTTTAATTTGTATTTTCGTCTGACATTTTAGCTTTGAATGTCATAATACTGTTAGGTTTTACTGCAACAAAATGCACATATTTGTAATTAACGATGTCTCATGAGTACAACAGTACACCCCATTAAACGGTTTTATGGTGTTTTGGAAAGTTACAGGGTCAAATATAGAACGTTCCATTTTCAAATTGAAATTTGACCGATTAGTAATGTTACCTTTGAGACGGTGTGGTAGCCCAGGAATGAGAATTACCCCCATAATGGCATAACATTTGAAAAAGTAGACAACCCAAGGTATTGAAAGTGGGGTATGTTTAGTCTTTTTTAGTAGCCACTTAGTCACAAACACTGGCCAAAGTTAGCGTTCATATTTGTTTTTGTGTGAAAAAGCAAAAAACTAATATTTGGCCAGTGTTTGTGACTAAGTGGCTACTAAGAAAGACTGGACATACCCCACTTGCAATACCTTGGGTTGTCTACTTTTGCAAATGGTATGCCATCATGGGGGTAATTCTCATTCCTGGGCTATCATACGCTCTCAAAGGCAACATAACCAATCTGGGAAATTTCAATGTCAAAAAAATGAAATGCAAGCCTTATATGTGCCTCTCTAACTTTCCAAAACACCATAAAACCTGTACATAGGGGGTACTGTTATTCTTGTGAGACTTCACTAAACACAATTATTAGTGTTTTAAAACATTAAAACATATTACAACAATAATATAGTCCATAAAAGTGCTGTTCGTTTGTAAAAAATGCAAAAATGCCACTTTTATTTAAAATATCATCGTTGTAATACAATTTACCAGTTTGAAACACTAATATTTGAGTTCAGCAAAGTCTCCTGAGTAAAACAGTACCCCCTATGTACAGGTTTTATGGTGTCTTGGAGAGTTACAGTGTCAAATATAGTGCTTGCAAATTCAATTCTCTGCACTTTCTCCCTGTGTTGTCAGGCATGTCAATCAAATTTTAATTACTCAAATCACATAATTATGTTAAAAGATTACTTAAATATACATGTAGAATTTTAATATATTTGCATTTATAGGTATTTAAATTCTACGTGTATACTAATGTAATCTTTTAAATAATTATATGTATTTATCTATGTATATATATATTTGCGGTTATTTGTATTTTATATATAGATATATATATATATATATATATATATATATATATATATATATATATATATAGAATGTCATTCTAAGTGTATTTTGTTACCAATATATATATATATATATATATATATATATATATATATATATATATATATATATATATATATATATTAATAACAAAATACAGTTAGAATGAAATTACATATGAATATATCATTTATATTAAATTGTGTTTCAATATTTTATTTATTTTATTATTTTATTTATTTATTATTGTAATTATACGTATATATGTAATATATGTGTATATATCTATTATATATATAATATATATATATATATATATATATATATATATATATATATATATTATACAGGGAGTGCAGAATTATTAGGCAAATGAGTATTTTGACCACATCATCCTCTTTATGCATGTTGTCTTACTCCAAGCTGTATAGGCTCGAAAGCCTACTACCAATTAAGCATATTAGGTGATGTGCATCTCTGTAATGAGAAGGGGTGTGGTCTAATGACATCAACACCCTATATCAGGTGTGCATAATTATTAGGCAACTTCCTTTCCTTTGGCAAAATGGGTCAAAAGAAGGACTTGACAGGCTCAGAAAAGTCAAAAATAGTGAGATATCTTGCAGAGGGATGCAGCACTCTTAAAATTGCAAAGCTTCTGAAGCGTGATCATCGAACAATCAAGCGTTTCATTCAAAATAGTCAACAGGGTCGCAAGAAGCGTGTGGAAAAACCAAGGCGCAAAATAACTGCCCATGAACTGAGAAAAGTCAAGCGTGCAGCTGCCACGATGCCACTTGCCACCAGTTTGGCCATATTTCAGAGCTGCAACATCACTGAGTGCCCAAAAGCACAAGGTGTGCAATACTCAGAGACATGGCCAAGGTAAGAAAGGCTGAAAGACGACCACCACTGAACAAGACACACAAGCTGAAACGTCAAGACTGGGCCAAGAAATATCTCAAGACTGATTTTTCTAAGGTTTTATGGACTGATGAAATGAGAGTGAGTCTTGATGGGCCAGATGGATGGGCCCGTGGCTGGATTGGTAAAGGGCAGAGAGCTCCAGTCCGACTCAGACGCCAGCAAGGTGGAGGTGGAGTACTGGTTTGGGCTGGTATCATCAAAGATGAGCTTGTGGGGCCTTTTCGGGTTGAGGATGGAGTCAAGCTCAACTCCCAGTCCTACTGCCAGTTCCTGGAAGACACCTTCTTCAAGCAGTGGTACAGGAAGAAGTCTGCATCCTTCAAGAAAAACATGATTTTCATGCAGGACAATGCTCCATCACACGCGTCCAAGTACTCCACAGCGTGGCTGGCAAGAAAGGGTATAAAAGAAGAAAATCTAATGACATGGCCTCCTTGTTCACCTGATCTGAACCCCATTGAGAACTAATAATTATGCACAGTAATAGTCACCTGCACACACAGATATCCCCCTAACATAGCTATAACTAAAAACAAACTAAAAACTACTTCCAAAAATATTCAGCTTTGATATTAATTAGTTTTTTGGGTTCATTGAGAACATGGTTGTTGTTCAATAATAAAATTAATCCTCAAAAATACAACTTGCCTAATAATTCTGCACTCCCTGTATATATGTAACGTCATTCTAAGTGTATTTTAATACTAATATATGTACTTATATTAATATTAAAATACACTTTGTATGACGTTACAAATATATAATATGTATATATATTATATATATAATATATATACATATATTATATATATAAATACATTTCTATTTTATTTTATAACATGTTTAATGATTTTTTTTTTTTTTACTTTCCCACCAGCAGGGGGGCTGTCTGACATTTCAGACAGTCTCCCTGCTGGCAGATCCACAGCCAGCTATAGGGGGCCATGTGTTCGCTCTTTGAGAGCGATCACATGGCCCCCGGGGGCCTGATTTGCAATGGGAGGGCTGCCTGGGCTGTTAGGCAGCCCTCCAGAAGAGGATCGCGGTGGAGGTGAGTACGCCGGACCTCCAGGGGCTCAAAGCCGTTACGGCTTTAAAGCCCACTTAATGTGGGACGGCATAGAACGCCGTAACGGCATTAACGGGTTAAAAACACAAAAGTATATACAGCATGGAACAGTATTGTAGACGAACTGTTTCACATTGTCTAATACATCAGAATGACTGTCAGGCATTCCAGTAAGTCAGAGTAAAACTGTTGTAGAAGGAAGATTCCTAGCTTGTATATTTCAATGATTGACTTTACTATTTTGAAAACTATTAAGCTGTACCTCTTGTTTAATTTGTGGCTGTTTAAGATTGTTGAATGCAGAGCTACTGGTAAGAAAATAATCCAAGTATGGGTGCAATGTAAAGTACCTAATATTATGATAATAATAAAGATTGAGCTGTGCCACAAAAACAGAAAATATGACAAATGAGAAAATGGGCAAAAGCTCAGAGAAATCTCCATAGCCTGCCCTTTAGTTAGTCCCAGCAGGTCTCAAAAATGGTTTTGCTCACTTGTGACATTACAGAGAGGACTTTTACTTCTTGCATATCAGACCCATAAGTGCAGTCCACATCCAAAATGCTGGCAAGCTCTCTCTGCAAAAGAGAAACATCAACCCCGGACTATGATAATTTAGCGGGGATTTACCAAAAGACAAGCTAGTAAGGCTGTTTTCCGTTCTCTAGGGTTGCTGTTTCTCTTGTGCAGAGAGAGAAAGCTAGCAATTTGGATTTGTACCTTCCTTCAGGGTGGGATCTGTCTTCTATGTAAATGATTTCGATTTTTCTCTGTAATAGCACAAAATGAGTTAAAACCAGCTTGAGAACTGAGCGGGGACCCATCGAAAGACAAGCTATTTAAGCAAAAAATATGTTTGTCTGAGTCTATATCCAGGTTTTTCACAAACCAAAGGTCAAATCTTTGTGAGAATTGTAATGTCATATTTTCATATACCGAAGATTACAACCTTCCACATTTTAATTATGCACATCAAGAAGCAATAAGCAAAAGTCTGTGTAATAGTTATATCATGTGCCTCCAAAGTGATTTTGAGAATGGTACAGTTTTCAAATACTCCCTGACACCTGAATATTGTCAGTTTATAGAATAAGGATCACATTCATTTATTTATTACTCCGTATGGCCAGTTTAACAGAAATTTGTAAACAACAGGTTCCAAAAATGTTGGGTTATTTAGGGTGTTTAGAGTAACCAGTAAAAATATTCTCATAATCTTCATTGGGACAACAACTAAACATATTACACGTGTGTAAGTTTTTTTTTGTTTTTTTTTCTACAAACTATAAAGCACATGAAATAACCACACAATATGAAATTACTTGAGGAACATCACATTTTATATAAACTTTTCCATACTTTTCAAAATATTAGTAAGTAAAATATTCAGTACTAACTTCATTACGTTCCCACCAACCATAGTTTTCCAGACCATCCAAGGCAAATTGCTGTGACCTACGTACAACAAAGTAAATTAGATAGCCACTTCCAGCCAGGGTGCACATCACAAGGAAGTTTGCAAAAACCCTTAGAAATCGAACTAAGTGAATGTTTTCTTCTTTTCTGTTTTCTTGTTCTTCTAAAATAGACTCCTGTTTTGAAAATAGAAAATAAAGAAAAGCATAAGAAAAATCACTTTATTTTGGCACTCTAGCGTGTACTATTGCAGATCCCAAAATATCTGTTAACAGATAAATGTATCTGTCAAATGTGAACGACATGGACAATAACATCAGCTTTAGATATGTATTAAATGCAATCAGTGCTTTGTGTTAATGAAATTCCAGTAAAATATATTTTAAATATAGATTAAAGTTGCTTTTTCTCTCCATGATGGAAGTTGAAATAGAGAATAGTGTAAATGTGCAAATGTCAGTCTGTCCTGAAGGTGTATTTATGATATGATACAGTAAACACAACAACTGACGGGCAAACCAAGGCCAACACTAGTGGATAAAGTGGAGCACTATATTATCAATAAACTTACCTCTTAAACAATGTGGGTATCTGGTATCAAGTGGTAAAAAAAAAAAAAAGAAAAGAAAAGAATATAGTGTAGCAATATGTGATAAAGCATGCAATGCAAATACATAGGCTACACTCACACAGGATACACCCTTTATGATAGGCTCAGATTGCTCAGGTGGATGTGTGCTGTGGCGACACTATCCTTCTTCAATCTTCCAACCATAGTAACTCAAAGCAAGAACAAAAGAATACAGAAGTATCTGGTGCAGTAGGTTGGAAAATGAAACAACTAGACCAAGAGACAGATAATTGTTTACTTTAAAAAGAGCCCCTCATAACCTGACTCTGAGTAAAAACTCTTATGTGTCCATAAAGGAGAACACAAACCCATCGTGAATTCAGGATCCAGTTTGTATATGATGCCATAGGACAAAGTAGTAAAGTGCAAAACTGAATATATTAAAATATGCAATAAAAAAAAAAAAAGTTAAAAGCAGTAAAAGTCCTTGGGCTCTCCCTCCGAGACGTGTTTCAACGACTTGCAGATTCTTCAATCGGACATTGACACATAAGTGATTTATTCACTGTTGTTGGCATTTGTTTGCCATACAGTTGCTGTGTTTTTTGTGCACAATAGTGTGTATAGTTAGGGAGAAACTTACTCAAATGTGGTACCAGCTTTCTATATTTTGTTTATAAGCATCTATTCATCACAAATCACTATTTTATTTTTAATGTTATGCTAAGGTGCCTTGTATTAGGGTACAATTACATGTTATTTTGTGGCCGTCAATGCCAAAGGCAAAAACATTGATAGGGTTATTTACTATTTATTAAATTTATTTATAAAATATTTTACCAGTAAGGATATATTGAGATTTATCTCATTTTCTCTTGTTTAATAGTGAGAAATGTGAGGAATTTAATGTGAATTTCAAATTTAAGACTAAAATAGTTATATGGAAGCATAAATGACTTGGAGATTGTTTTCCAGTTCTGCTATTATAGCTTTAAATTTGAAATTTAGTGTGACTTTCATTTCCTGACAATTCTCACTTTAGTAAATAACCGAGTGAGTAGAGAAATAACATTTGATCTCCCTTTTTCATAATACACTGACTAGCACAGTCGATAGAAATCATATAATTATTTATAAAAGTATACTATTTTTAGAATACTGTTTGGCAATAGAAGTCAAAGTAAAATAGGTATTGCCAATTATACAACAAAATAGTTTTACCTGGCCTACTTTCCCCCTTGTATTTCGTCTAAAATCTGCAACTGAAAAAAGATCACAAAAACATAAGAAAACATTTTCTTAAAGGGACACTATAGTTACCAGAACAATTACAGTTTATTGTATTTGTTCTGGTGAGTAGAATCAGTCCCTGCAGGCTCTATGCTTTTCAGAGAAAATGAAGTGTTTACATTACAGCCTAGGGATACCTCCTCATATGGCTAATATAGGTGCTTCCTGTGGCAGTGCTGCACACTGTGCAGTACTGACATTCAGTATCTCCACTCTCTGCATGGTGACACTGAATTTTCCTCACAGAAATGCATTTATTCAATGCATCTCTATGAGGAGATGCTGATTTGCATGGGCTGTGTTTCGCTTGTGCTGGCTCTGCCCCTAATCTGTCTCCTTGATAAGCTCAGCCAATCCAATGCTTTCCTATAGGAAAGCATTATGATTGGCTTTCATCAAGACTTCTGATGATGTCAGCCAAGCAGGCAGATCAGGGGCAGAGCCAGCAGGAGCAGACTGAAGTAAAGGTAAGAGTTTACAATATTTAGAGAGGGCACTATAGGGTCCAGAATACATGTTTTGTTCCTGACCCTATAGTGTTCCTTTAATATCAAAGAAAGTGATTATTGCAGTATTCACTCACATTTTAAGGAGCTCAAAAAAAGTATACATTGCAGTCTGTTTTTTATTGATGACCTCACCCCTTGCAGACTATTATGTGCAGGTTTAATAATACTCTTTCCATGTCAAAAGGCATAAAACAAAAAAAAAGAGTTTCTGTAGTGTAGACAACCAACAAATATTACTGGCAAAATAACCCCATGAACGCTATTTAAGGAGTCTGGAAGTCTTGATATGTGAGGGATCGCAATAGTTGTCACATTATTTGGTTGAAAAAATGGTTTCACTAATTATTTCAATTTATGTGTTATGTGTTCCAGGATGGTACTTGCATTACTGAGGTTTTAAAGAATACAAATTCAGTAAGAGTATTTTTACAAGATGGAAGATCTGGTTTTGACTGAAAGCAGTAATGCATCACAGGCAAGTACACACTATTTAAATGTTTCTTGTAATAATTGAAAAAATAATGCTACATAGTTTATAATAATAAACATTTTCCCATTCTTACCTTAAAACTTGTGGTAATCGATGCAAACTTATTATCAGCTGTCTCTGGGTTGCCAATAAGAAAATCCCAACTTGTATACATTTTCCAACTAAAATTAAAGCTGTTGTCATCACCTCCTCCATCATCATTTGCATTTTTTGCCATTCTGCAAATTTAAAGAGATTTCAAGACTTTAATTTTATAATGCAAAGACTGTAATTTTAGAATGCAAACAGACAATATTTATTTAACCACCATCCATCTTGAATGTATATCCACTTGTCATCGTAAAAAAAAAAAAAAACAGTAGTGGTTGGACAAGAAATGTCAGAGTAGGTACACTTAATGACACAGTTATTGAAAAAATGAGAATCTAAAGTGAATTTCACATTTAAGATGAAAATAGCCAAACTGGAAAAATCCTCTTACTCAACTATATTTTCAGTTCAGTTGCTTTGGCCTTAACTTTTAAATTGAATTATCACTTAAGTATATAACCCTGTTAATATTCAAACTATATTTTTTATTCAGAATATTCAGAATATATGTTGGGGTTAACCTTGTTGAATGGAAGTAGAAATTAATGGCTATTATAGTTTAGTAGAGGCTCACATCATTATAACATTTGGTGTAGGGGGTGAGACTTTTTCTTATGCCTTCCAGGATATAAAAGACACTCATCTCTGATGATGTTTGGGTACCTCTGTACTTGGTTGTCAATGACATTACTCCATATCAACAAAAAAAGTAGAAATGTGTTTGGATTTATTTGGGTATTTTTGGATGTCCCAATCCATCTTCTTTGGCTATTGTCTAAGTTGATACATCTTACAACTGTAAGGAGAGAGGAAACTCCATACCATTACACTGCAAACCCCTTTGATTAGTAAGGTGAATGGAAACACTCATGGAACATGAACTCACTCGTGAAACAGTGGCTATGAAGTGTGCTTTTCAGAACCCCTCCAATGAGCCAGATTGGCGAAACGTGCGTCAGGGGTTCTGACAAGCACACTTCATAGCCACTGTATCATGAGCTCATGTTCGGCTTATAATGGCATTTACAGAAATTCACTAATACCTGTCCCCATATATTGAAAAAACGGCATCATTACAATCTCCAGCATTCTTTCATTTTATTGATTCTATGGGTGGGAGGCATTCCGTATACATCCATTTAGGAGTAACAGGCATTTCGGGTTAAGGGGTGCCCTCAAAGGCACAGATTTAGTATGTACTTAGTATTTACTTTACCTCTCCCTGCTATCACTCCTACTAATACAGACACATTGTTTGGCAGCGACTATTAGCTAATACAATGTTGCTTTTTTGTTCGCACTACATTGCTGGACTGTTTTAGTTGCACTATCTCTAGTAAGACCATCTAGCCTGTATTAAAGCATTTTCTGATATCTTAGTATTCTTATTGCAGCACTGCACATTATTAAATACTATTTTTTTTTTCTTTCTAAAAGGGAGGGAGACGTCCCCTTATCCCTTTGTTTGGAGTTTAGATTTAGATTTTTTTCTATTCTCCTTATACCGTTGGTCTGCTACAGATGTTTTTTTTTTTATTATTATCCTGAACTCACAAAGCTACAGCCTGTACTACCTTACTCTGTATTCATTATCCCTATATTTGGGTAGAACTACCAGATTTTCATATACAGACATTAAATTGTAAATATGTATATTATTATTTCTGTTTGGATTTTGTTTTCCTTTTCTGTCTGTTGTGGTGACTTATTTCACCTCTTAATCACTATATTAAAAGTTAAGTTTTATTTTTAGAAATACCCATCCTATTTGGTTGATATTTGCCACTCCACCAGCGATACAGTTATTATTTCTCGCTTGCCTCCTGGCAGTTCTTCTTTTTTTTCTTCTCATTTATTCCATAGTGACCAGTCTCACTGGGGGTTACCCCCTGCTTAATAATAGTTACATAATTACATAATGGTTAATAATTGCATTACCTTTCTTTACTCTTTTATTGTCTAGCTAAAATATATCTTACCATATCCAAAACATGTTTAGCCTAAGTCAGATTTATCAGTTGGTATGTTTTTGTCCGCTTCGGGTTTAAATAACCGTATCTATTGTCATGAATCCACTTCCTTGGGGTTTCCACTCAGTAATTGTATCTGGTTCTTGGAACGCATAGTGCATTCCATTTGTACGTTCCTGTTCTTCCAGGTTCCGTGTTGCAATATGTCACAACTGGTATCAGTCTTCGTGGAGCAAGCGTCCTAAGCAACCACCATGTGTAGAAGTCCTTGTCTTTTACAATACTAAGCATCCTTATTTTAGAAGGATATTATATATATATATCAAAAAAAGAATATGTATATTGGACTGATTTTTAAAAAAAAAAAACAGTACAGTAATGTTCTATTAAAAAAAAAAAAATACAATAACATAATACATGGAGGATATACCTAAAATGCTTTTTTTTATCGTGGGGTGCAAACCTCATAAGGCACTCCCTTAAATGCTCTCGAAAACCATATAAATACAAAAATAAGGATGCACACTATATCAACTAACAAGTAAAAATTACTTATATATCCTTTATTCAAGAAAGGACAAAGAAAGTATACATAAATACAAAGTCAACAAAACAAATAGACAAAGGGAAAAAATCAAGGCATGTATACAAAGGTAATTATCACCAATAAACAAGCCTAAAAGGACAGAACACAAGTCACCAATCCTACCAACGGTTCAGTAACTCTCCAACTGCCTTTCTCAAGGGTGTCTGTAGCCATACCTGCGTCTGCTTATATCTCATAGTTTTTGCTTGTTAGTTGATATAGTGTGCATCCTTATTTTGTATATATACTATTCCATAACAATGTCACATTTCAAAATCACTGTTTAAACAAGATTAAAGTGTTCCACCGCTTTTTTAAAAATAAAATCCCCTCCAGTTGTAATCTGTTTAATTGCAGGTAGGAGACCTACTATATTTTGGTTGTATGTTAATTTAAAATGCTGTGAGATGCTTTGCGTTTACTATATATAGGATTATGGGAGTTTAGGCAAAATGTGCTCTTGTACAAATGAGTCATGGGCAAAGGCAAAAAAATACACTTTTTTTTTTTAATTTGTATGTCAATTTGGCCTCACAGAAAACTGAAAAATGTAGCCATGCGGTTTATTATGTTGTCTCTATTTTGTAATGATCTTATAACAACTATATTCAAGTGTAATGGCTATTTAATTAATTTGAGTGCTTTTGTGGTTCAGCCTTGGGTATAAATACTTACCTTCACTTCTTGATTGTTCTTTTTCGTGTTACTCACCATCCATTCTTCCCTTCATTTAGAGTTTGTTATTTCCTCCATTTTTTTTTTTTTTTAACATCAACTTTCTCGGGTTAATGCTCTATCTCTGCAGTGTCTCCATTTATTTTATTATTCTCTAAGAAGGCCCCTTATGCTTGCCCTTCAAAGTCTAAACACATCACAGAGCTCCTCAAGTTTCACTTTTCATGAACACTTTACATATCAATAATTATGAATATAACTTACGTTCTGATGACTACCATGAAGCTGTATGCAATGGTTCCAATTCCAACAAGCAAATAAGAAAGAGGCAACCTAAATTGTAACCAACCAATGGTCCTTTGGCTGTTGTAGTAGCCATAGAAGAGGACAGAGTACTGTGCAAATCCCTGAAAGAAAATAATGCTCAGTTACTAAGAAAATATAGATATAGTGTTTCATTGTCTAAATTATGTGTTTTTCTCAATTGTAAAACTGCATCATTTGACACTTTGTAAGGTTATGTCTTAAAAGGACACTCAAAGAACCACAACAACTTGTGTCCTTGCAAAAGTTGATCCTGCTTATAACTGCACCTAAAACCCTGCTCTTTTTTTGCCAGACATCAAAACAAGTCATTATACTGGGAGTATAATATATATAAATATATATATATATATTATTCCCAGTATAATAACAAGAACAGTATGCTTTAAATGTACATGTTTATGTACATGGGCAGTTAGTAAATGAATATATTTACTGTATTTGAACACAAATTAGTTTCCAATTTATTGCTGGCATGCTCTGTAAGATAATTGTTCCTTCTGAAGATAATTGTATGTATTATTGCTTTCGATCTTTGTGGTATGCTCATACATGCTACACAATATTGTAACTCCATTTTACCAACGAGGGGCATCAAAGTATGAAAGTATGAAAGAGGAACTCTTGGATTTTGTTACTTTAAATAAGCCTATTTGGAAGGTATACAAATGAGATCACATGATACTTACACTGAAATCCCAAAGCGTTGCAAAATTCATTGCAGTGGGCTGCTCTGCTCTAGGGACTGTCTTTCTAGGCATTGAACCATAGGGCTTCCCCATTAAAGCCTGGAGAACACAATACATTCTGAAAGAAGACTGTAATAGTGTAGTAGAAGACTGAACACAATATTAAACAACACAATATGTATATAGAAAAAGGAAAACATTTATAGAAAAGGCAAAAATGGTGATAAGAAATACAGACATACACAGATAGATGTATAGATACCCAGTGGTATAATATTTATTTTTAAATATTACAGTACATTACATAATGGTGATATGGGAAAAGCATGCAATCAAGGGGTTCTGAAGCCATTGTAATAAACTATAATGCATTGTTCAGTGTTGGTATCTTTATTATTGATATTTTCTTAGGGTTAGTGCTGGATTATGCCTAAGTTAGTTTTATTGTTGGTGTTAAGTCTAAGGTTATGACTAAGGTTAAGGCTAGGCTTAGGTTTAAGGTTCTTTTAATCTCAATACATCACCAGAACATACATGTCCCATTGGACTAAAGATTGGTAGATGCTACTCTTCCCTGCAGCTGCGATATGTAGCTGCTGCCCTTAACACTTTCTTGGGTATGGCCTTCTTCACCTCTTGTTACTGTTAATATTCTGTATTGCTTGTTGTCAAATATCCCCAATAACGGTAAAGCACGGAGGAATATGTTGGCACTATATACATTCTAATAGAAATGCATCTCTTCCTTCCCATTCATAGATGTCAGGAGATCAGCTGAGGAGACATTGTTGCACTGTTTTGGCTCCTCAGGCTTACTCCTAAACATAGCCTTAACACTAATCAAAACTATCATTCTAACACTAGTCCCAGCCCTAACCATTTTTTACCCAATTTAAAGTCGTATAATGTAGTAGATGTATAACAATGGAACATGTGTGGGAAATAATATTATGTATCACATATATATATATATACTGCATATATACATTAATTTTCTATCTAAAACAGTTCAAATAATTTTATTGAAGAAGTTGGTTTGTAAATCAATATGCATTTTGCTTGTGTTGACATTTTATTAGTGGTTTTACCCCTTTTAGTTGGCTCAGAGTGGAGAACATTGTCTGGACCATACAACCGTGGATAATTAAAGGTGAGATATAACACCAGAGACTAGATGGAGTGAATGCCAAAATTAATACAAAACTGTAGTATTTTATCATCACATGCATTTATAAATGCCTGCCTGTGAAGTCTTTATTCTCTATAAAAGGATGTTTTACCTCTGGCACCATGACTAGGCCAAATGTCAATCCAAAGAGTATCATATTAATTCCATACATCCAACGTAGAAATATAAAATAAGATGCTACAGATGAGCCAAAGTGACCTGAGAACAAAAGATTGTGTTTAATATAGTGGAGGCTTAAGTATATAATTAGATATTTTTGATGATCTAGACAAAACTATGTTCTAAAGATCTGTGTGGTGCTATTTTGCATTAACTCAATAATCATTCATGTACCCAGAATGTTTTCCATTAAGGGAACACTAAAGGCATCCAGACCACTTCATCTTGTTGAAGTGGTGTGGGTGCAGGGTCCCTGTCCCCTTAATCCTGCAATGTAAAACATTACAGTTTTAGACAACCTCTAGAAGACAGCCAATGTCTTACGCTTTGCATGAAGATGTCCAGCGTCTTCAAAATCCCCATAGGAAAATATTGATTCAATGATTCATAAAATGGAATGAATCATGCATTTTGCTAATTTTAGCTCCTCTCACAAGTAAGGGTTTAATTGTCAGTACATGAAAATTATTTTTATGTACATTATAAGTTGAACAACAAAGAAAACTATTTTTAAAAGTGTGAATGTTGAATTCTTTTATCCCAAAACAATAAATGTCCTCCTGTCTTTTGATGGCCAAATTAAATGTTGTTCCTATTTAAATATATTTTTTGTTTAAAGAAGACAGTAGGAAATTATTATATTTCTACAACTAGAATATAATACCTCCGATTTATTATACCTCGCTTTCTTTGCAATAAAAGGGAATGAAACAAAGTGTTTTTCATTAAAGTTTGAATTATTTGGAATTCAAAGTGAATTTCAGATTTGAAGCCAAAATAACCAAACTGAAAACATTGTCCAAGTCAGCCATAGTTCTAGTTTGACTGCTATGGCTTTCAATTTGACATTCACTTTGCACTCTATTAAAGAGACACTATAGTCACCAGAACAACTACATCTTATTGTATTTGTTCTGGTGAGTAGAATCATTACCTTCAGGCTTTTGCTGTAAACACTGTCTTTTCAGAGAAAATGCAGTGTTTACATTACAGCCTAGCAATAACTCCACTGGCCACTCCTCAGATGGCTACTAGAGGTGCATCCTGTGGCAGTGCTGCACAGTGATCAGCACTACCATTAAGTGTCTCCACCTTCTACATGCAGACACTGAACTTTCCTCATAGAGATGCATTGGTTTAATTCATCTATATGATGAGATGCTGGTTGACCAGGACTGTGTTTGACTTGTGCTGGCTCTGCCCCTGATTTGCCTCCTTGACTGTCCCAGACAATCCTATCCTTTGGGAAGCATTGTGATTGGCTCAGACCACCACTTCTGATGATATCAGCAGACGGCAGGCAGGTCAAAAGCAGACATGGGCAGAGCCAGCAGCTGCAGGCTTGAATACGAGTATGACTTTACTATATTTAGGGAGGCAAGAGGGAACCAAGGGGGACTATATGGTGGTTATAACACTATAGGGTTAGGAATACATGTTTGTGTTTCTGACCATATAGTGTTCTTTTAGGTAAATAGTTCTCTCAAATAGAGTAATATTTTTACAGAAAATTAAAAACAAAAATTGCATCCTGAATTCCTTGCAAATGCCGTAGAAAATTGTGTATTGGAATTAGCTGTTCCATCTTTTTATCATTGAGACTATAATAGCTGCTTATTTTAAAAAAAAAAAGCATAAAAACGAGGAAATACAAACAAACATTTTAATATTTCAAAATGAAACACTAAGAGCAGATGGGTGACAGGAGATACTAATTACAATAATCAGTTTTCATGGTATAGAGAAAGACATACAGAGAGACAGATAGACAGATAGATAGATAGATAGATAGATAGATAGATAGATAGATAGATAGATAGATAGATAGATAGATAGATAGATAGATAGATAAATTCATCTTAGGTTATAGGTGATTTTTAATGTTTTAATCAATGGTATAATTTCCAGAGAACTGACAGCTCTGCTTATAGAACAACATTCATAAATAAAATCAAATAGCTTACTTTCAATTTCTTTTATTTTCATTTCCCATGGTATACAGGCAGTTTTAAAATTGTCAAAGTCTCTCTGAAATTTCATCCATTTCTAAAGCAGAAGATATATGAGAAAATATATGAAAATATTGTAAGAGGGCTATTTGTTCATGCACTTTTTTTCTGATTTATGTATGATTACTGTTTTTATTTTGTAAATATACTATAATAGCCCTCACTAGAACCAGCATTAAAAAAAAAAAGAAATTACAAACAATTTTCAAAATAGTAATTATACTCAAAGCAGCAAAGCACAGGTTTGCAGCACTGGGGTGAAACACAAACAAATACGCAGCACATTCTAATACTTAAATACAATATTGTGATTCAGTAAGACCTCCACAAGCTGGAGGGAAACTATAATGAGTTATCATGTAAAAATAAATTAAAGTCCTACACTACTAGCCAATGCTAAACATTAGTCACTGTTGTATACTGTCTCCTACAACATGATCACTAGGCTTAGATAGTATACCTCCCAAAATCAGGAGGTATGCAAACAGGAGGGACAACACTGAATGCAAACACTGAAAGACAGAAAGGGCCTGTCTGGTTTCCCCCAGTTCACAGGATTTTGCAGGAAATTGTTGCTTAAGCACTCTCTGCAGGGTCCTAGTGCCTGTGCACAGCTGTGCTGGCTAAATACAGTTCTCTGGTGTCTATACGTGGGCCACCATGGAACAAAATCAGGATGACAAGACAGGACCCTGAAATCAGGACTGTCCTACAGAAAATGAGACTGTTAGGGGGCCTTAGATAGGGAAATGACACATGCAGCCTCTAAAGTACTGGCAAATCAAATAATTCCTAGCATACAGGTTGTGGCAGAAATGCCTCTGACACGTGTTCTTGGAGGGGCCTGCTTGCCAGCCTCCTGCAAAAAGAGTATGGGCCCTTTAAAAACGTATGTGATTTATGTACTTTTGCTCTCCAGAAAGAGAGACCAACTGTTAGCCTCAATTCCCTGGAACTGTTTTGGCATAGGACCATGTGCACGGTCAGTCAAAATTATGACTTCCATGGAAATCCCGAACCCCCTGAACCGATCTGGGTGATTTTTGGATATGTTGGTCCTCCAATCAGGGCTATCAGAGGATGTGACTTTTGTTGGTTTCCATGTGTTTTGGGGATCCTTTCGGGTTATTGTAAAATATATGTTTTCTGTGGGATTATCCTGTTTTGTGTGGGAGTGTCCTGGACCTGAGAGCCAATGTAATTACAGTGTGTACTTAGTCACAGTTCCCTCTCAGGTCCAGTGGGGAATATCCACATCTACTTCTGTGTTTTTTTTCCAGTGGGGAATATGTTCTGGAAAACACCTTGCATATAAGGCCAGTCGTGACTGCCATTAAACCAAGCGTGTCAAACTCGCGGCCAATGGGCCGCATGAGGCCCACAAGGGACCATCTTTGCGGCCCGGCGAGCCACGAGTGCATGCTGGTGTTATAGCAGAGTAGGCGCCTGCTTTCCCCAAATTGCAGGTGCCTATTCTGCTAACACTTACCCAGCCACGGAGGAGGGCCAGCGAGGGAGCTCAGTGTTCCTGCTCCTCACTGGTCCCTCGCACGCGCTGTCTGTAGTGAAGCCGGGCGCTGGAATATGACATCATATTCCAGCACCCGGCATCATTAAACCGCGCGAGGAGCAGGAAGGAGATCGCCAGACAGAAGATCCCCACACCAGCTCCAAAAGGTAGGAAAGAATAAATTAAATGATGTGAGTGCAAGAATGTGTGTCTGTCAGTGTGTGTGTGTGTGTGTGTGTGTCTGTCTGTCAGTGAGTGTATGTGTGTGTCTGTCTGTGAGTATGTGTGTTTGTCAGTGAGTTTCTGTGTGTGTCTGTCTGTGAGTGTGTGTGTGTGTGTTGGTCAGTGTTGCATTGGCTGTGACTGGACAGTGGAGTACCTGGAGGTGCATGGATGCACGCAACGCCAAGTGACATCTACGTGCTCCACCTTCACAGGTTTTCATTTGGCACAGGGTGGTACAGGAGGGTGCTGTGCTTTAGTAGAGGGGGGAGGACTGGGATTTAATAGAGGGGGTGCTGTGGTTTAGTAGAGGGGAATGCTGAGATTTTTTTTATACTGTACTTTTTAAAATAAACCTACGTTTCTATGAAAACTTAAGGTATTTTGTTTTTGCGGCCCACATAAACTTAAACATTTGTTTTTGTGGCCCGTGCCAGACTTTGAGTTTGACATGCTTGTATTAAACAGTTCAACTTCACCCTCAACACAGAGCCTCGTTTCGTGATTGTAGGGAACAGCTATACCAGCTATATCACTAGCTCTTGTAAGAGCTATACTGCTATACTCTCTGGAGTAGGAGAGGTCTACCCACTGGAAGGTGAATCCCTGACTTGGGTCCAGGGTGGGTGGAGGGCAGCGAGACTCCAACCAAGCTGCAGCGGCTAAGGGTCTCTGATGGAGTGCTTGGAAGTACTCAGTGATACTAGGAAGCAGTGATTGGCAGTGGTACCTAGTCGGGGTGCCAGGCGGTCCGTCACACAGGTGCCTATGGAATTTGTAGTCTTTGTCACTATGCTGATGAGAAAAAAAAATGTATAGGAATATTTTTGGGCTATATATTTACAAGCAATTTAGCTAGTACAATGTGTAAGGACTGAATGAACACTCAGTATCCTTTCTGGCATCTGGAGTGGATTGGAGGGTAGTACATCATACTGGGCTAGGGTCTTCAAGTCCCATAGCCCAATGTATAGAAAATTATGGGATGCTACATCCACTGGACCTAGTACCATAGGTATCAAGTGTTTTCAAGCCTTTAAAGTCTTAGGGCAAAATGCATAAGATCTATCCTGCTGCCTTCACATGTGCTGATTTAATGTGTTAATCATCTTTAGCAAACACAAATGAATTGCACATATCCACAATACATAGTAGGAGTCATAACATTTTCTTTTTTAACTCTCAATCTTCCATTAATACAAAGAAAGGTCCAGGCACATGATAACTGATAAGGTAATGTTTTGGCTCAAAAAAAAAGTGTTCTTTTTATTTTATATTTTATATATATTTTTCAGATTTGTACCTGCCTTGTATATTTTTAGCTGGTGCTTCTGTATTTCAGGCCTTGGTACTCTTGTCATCATAAATATCTCCTCACTATCTCCTTCTCTTCCTAGACCTTAGGTCTCTCATACTTTCTTAATATTCTCCATTCTTTACTTCTTAAATTTATAGTGGTAAGAGACGAAAGGAAACAGAAGGGATTCACTTAATTATTTATATACTATTAAACTCCCCAATCCTTCCCACCCAAAACCCCTCCCCCTTCCCTGATTCTTAAATCCTATTGTAAATTCTTGTTTGTGAATCTTTCATTCCCTGTCTATCCTTGGAGAGAGAGAGCACACCTTAAGCTTAATGTGATATAATTAATTTTACAATTCTGTAAATCTGCCCATTTTTTTAGTATCTACTTCTTTTTCCCTATCCCTTTTCCTCTCCATCACCCCTATAACAAGAAGTAAACTATACACATGTCAAATGTTGAGTGAAAAGTAAAGGAAAGAGGAGAGTAATGATGTTAATTATTGCCTTGGTTTGTTGTCATTTAACCAAAAAAAAAAAGAGCCAGCAAAAGAGAGAGGACACAAGATAAACTTTTAAATCGGTTGTGATAATTGTTAAGTTATAGCTTCCATTTTATAAATACATGTGTCCCAGTCTTCTATTTGAGTGTATCTATTTCCTAGGTTCACCAATATACCCCATTCCATTTTTGCCTGCTATATGACTTCTGTTATTAATTCTTGAATGTATGGGATTTTCCCTGTTTTCCAATTTCGTGCTAACAGTAGTTTAGCTGCCGTGATGATATGCAACGTTATCATTAGTACTTTTTTTTTGTCATTTTAGGCCACTTCAGGTTTAACAGGACCACTTCAGGCTTTAAGACTAGTTTCATTTCTGTTATTTGATATATTACATTGATTACATCTTTCCAAAATGTATTTATGGATACACATTGCCAACAAATGTGTCAGGATTACTAGTAGATTATATCACACCTAGGACTAACGGTAACGGTATGGCCGGACTTAACGTACAAGAAAATAGTCAGAATACTTGCCGAGGTCAGGGAAACAGAAGTCAAGAAACCAGAAAGTCAAAATGAAGCCAAAGTCATTAACCAGAAATAAACGCTCAGGAACACACTCTCGGATAACCTACTAAGGGAAACCATGACAGGGCAATGAGAAGAAGTAAAAATGTGTTTAAATAAACCTCCTATGCATCCGATTTGCCGTAACTGGCCTTTGACACCAGAACGTGCGTGTGCGTCGTTTGCGTTACGTCACACGCACGTTGACGTCGTTATTGCCATGGGCAGACATTGGGCTATAAAACAGCGTTGATTCTCAGCGGCCGATGTCCACCAACATGTTTCATGAGTCAGGTATACTGGCGCATAGCTGCTGAATGGCACAAGGTGAGGAAGAATATGTTACATAACCCCCATCTGAAGATCGCCGACAGGGCAGGCAGGACCAGGTTTAAGAGGAAACTTGGTGTGGAAAGAACGAATCATGCGGCAAGCATTTATGTAGGAAGCTGGAACCCAAGAACGCTTGGCAGGCCCATACACCCTCCAATGAACCAAACATTGTAAAGAACCATGAGAAAATCTGGAATCGGTTATGGAGGAGACTTCATACTCCTCCTGTTCAGAAACAACCAATGGAGGAGGGGGCACACTAGGGACAGTATACTTATTGCACATAAGCGGTTTGAGTAAAGAAACATGAAACATATTAGGAATACGTAAGGAGGCAGGAAGCGCCAGAGAATATAAAACAGTTTATTCTCTGAATTATACGAAATGGACCAAGGAATCTAGGGGGTACATTTCATGCTAGGAACTTTTAGTTTGATGTTGCGCGATGATAACCACACCCTCTCACCCACCTGGTAAACAGGGTTAGCACCCCGACGTTTATCAGCACGAAACAACAAAGTTTGGTCCACATTTCACGAATAGAAGCGAGGTGATCATCCACAGCGGGGATAGCTATATCAGAGAAAACAGCCAGTAGAACAGAAGGATGACGACCATTATTAACAAAGAATAGACTATGTCCGGAATAGTCATGGGTAGCATTGTTTCTGCAAACTCGGCCCATGGTAGCAGTTCGGACCAGTTATCTTGAGTGCCATTAACAAAACAATGCAAATACATTTCCAATGACTGGTTAGCCCTCTCAGCCATGTCATTGGTTTGGGGATGGTAAGAAGAAGAAAATGACAGTTCAGTACCCAACTGTTTATTGAAAGCCCTCCAAAATCTAGATACAAACTGAGAATCTCTGTCAGATAAAATATTTTGAGGAATACCATGTAGTCTTACAATGTCTCGTATAAAGATAAGAACCAGGTCTTGAGAGGAAAGCAATTTTTTGAGAGAAACAAAATGAGCCATCTTGGAAAAGCTGTCAACCACCATATGGATTGTGGTATAACCATTAGAACTAGGACGTTCCACGATGAAATCCATGGACAAATGAGACCATGGAACACTAAATACAGGAAGCGGATGCAACAATCCACAAGGGAGTTTATGAGGAACCTTTGTAACTGCACATACTGAACAGGCCTGCACATATTCCTTGACATCTTTCCTAAGTAAATCCCACCAAAATGATCCCAGGATAGCGGATGTGGACTTTTAATACCTGGATGCCCAGCAGTCACATTGTTGTGGAATACCTTCTTTACCTTCTCTCTTTCGATCAATGGAACAAACAATTTATCTGGAGGTTTATTGCAAGGTGCCTGGAATTGAGCCTCTATGATAGCACCAAGCAGAGGTAAAGATAAGGAAAAAACAGTGGAAGCAATGGTACACTCAGGTGGAACAATAGGTGATGTCCCTTGTTCTTGTTCTGATTCATTGTAAAACTGTCTAGATGAGGCGTCAGCTTTAACATTTTTGGGACCAGGTCTGTAAGTTATGAGAAAGTTACAGCGAGATAAGAACAAAGACCATCTAGCCTGTCTAGAAGACAGTCGTTCAGCATCACCGATATATGCCAAATTTTTATGGTCATTTATGATCAAAAGGGGGTCCTTGGAACCCTCTAAAAGATGTCGCCATTCTTTAAGTGCTAGTATAATGGCCAACAGTTCTCTGTTACCAATATCATAATTACGCTCTGCTGGAGACAACTTTCTAGAGAAGTACCCACACTGATGCAAAGGGGTATACTGACTCTCCCTCTGAGAAAGAACAGCCCCTACCCCAGTTTCGGAGGCATCAACCTCCAGTATGAAGGTTTTGCTAGTGTCAAGATGTACCAAAATTATAGCTGAAGCAAAAAAATTTTAAGAAGTTCAAAAGCTTCTCTAGCTTCCTTAGACCATATTGTACAACTAGCCCCCTTACGTGTCATATTGGTTATAGGGGCTATCATAGAAGAGAGCCCTTTGATAATTCTCCTGCAGTAATTAGCAAAACCAATAAACCTTTGAAAGGCTTTTAGCCCATTTTGCAATGGCCAATGTAGAACAGCTTTTAGTTTATGAGGATCCATATGAAAACCAGAGGCGGAAATATTATACCCAAAAAAACTGTACCTCAGTCTGGTCAAAGATGCATTTTTCAAGTTTGCAATAAAGTCTAATCTTAAGCAAGGTTTGCAACACTTGTTTGACATGTTTGTGGTGAGTCTGAAGATCAGGGGAATAAATAAGGATATCATCCAGGTGTACTAGAACAAATGAATAAATATAGTCTCTGAGCACATCATTAATAAAATCCTGAAATACGGCCGGAACATTGCATAACCCGAAGGGTATGACCAGGTACTCATAGTGCCCACTTCTACGTAGTGTTAAATGCCGTTTTCCACTGATGACCTTCCTTAATTCTTACCAAATTATACGCACTCCTGAGGTCAAGTTTAGTAAATACTTTTGCACCCTGGAGTCTGTCAAACAATTTGGAGATGAGGGCAATGGGATAGGCATTTTTTATGGTGATCTTATTTAATGCCCTGTAATAAATGTATGGGCGTAATTCTCCATCTTTTTTAGATACAAAAAAGAACCCTGCACCAGCAGGTGAGGATAATTTATGTATGTGGCCCTTACTTAGGTAATCCTTGATTTACTCATCCACGATTCTACTCTCCTAGGGAGATAAGGCATACACTGCCCCCTTAGAGGGCATAGCGCCCGGTAACAGATTTATGGAGCAATCATATGATCTGTGAAGAGGTAGTATATCAGTCTAACTTTTACTGAATACCTCCTTAACCTCCCAGTATTGTATGGGATTTTCGGAGGCCTGAGGCATAGTATTGGGCAAAGTAACGATGCCTACTCTTTTGGTAATGGGTAACACACATCTCTCTATACAATCTTTAGCCCACTCCAGTATTTCCCCTTTGCCCAGTCAATAAATATGGTGCTTAATGAGCCAAGGAAATCCTAATATGATGGGAGAAGAAGGAGAAGCAATTATCTGGAATGTTATGTTTTTCTTGTGTAAAGCTCCTATGGAAATGTTAATAGGCAATGTTTCGTGGGTAATCAAGGGTTGAGAGAGAGGTCTTCCATCAATAGCCTCAATGGCCAGAGGTGATGATCTCTCCTTGATAGGTACTAAATGTTTTTAACAAAATGTATGACAATGAAGCTTCCTGCCACACCTGAGCCCATAAGGGCTTTGCATGAAAAGCTTTTCTTGTTGCAAAGGGCTTTAATATCAAACAGAAATCTATTTTGGTTATTACTAGAAGACGTATCCATCACACCTAACTTGTTCCCATAAGGTTCTTAGGTGCGGAAGTTTTCCGGACGTATGAGACAAGCACTTCTCATGTGTCCTTTTTTACCGCATTATAAACACAGGCCCTCCTTTCTCCTATACTGTCTCTCTGCCTCTGACAGTCTAGTGACCCCTAACTGCATAGGTTCGGGTTCAGACTGTACAGAAAGGTCAGGAATAATAGGTTTGGAGAAACGAGGTGCCAGTGACTATTTCTGGAAATTTCCCTGGTTCTAAGTCTGTTATCAATCTGCATAAGCATAATATTTGTTAATTGAGGACTTGAATCCTACTTGATCATTGTTTATTAATTGTGGTACAACTATTTTTAATCTTTCAGCAAGAATAGAAGACAAAATTTTAATATCGGTATTGATTAGAAAATATTCACTCTCAGGAACTCTCCAGGACAGGGTCCTGTTCTCATTATATAATTAAAATTATTAGAGAGTTCTCCTTTTAGTTGCTCTTTCATTAGTTTATAAAATGTATTTGTAAAGCCATCTAGGCCTGAAACAGTCTATATTTTAAGCTTATCTATTGATTTACTGACCTCTACTTCTGTTATGGGTTGATTTATTATTTTTAAATGGTCGGGTAGAATTTTTGTTATATGTATGTTTTGGAAAAATTTCTCAATCTCTTCTTCCCTGACGTATATTTTCTTCTGGTAGGTTATATAGATCCCGATACAAAATTTCAAACGCTTTTCCTATTTTTTCAGGGGCCATTAACCCCTTAATGACTGAGCCAGTTGTACAAGTTGTGATCAAAACAAAACATAAACAAAACCTTGAATTTGTGCTATATGTCTGTTCAGGCGTAATTCACCTCTTTCATATTAAATGCACCCACACTTATATATATATATATATATATATATATATATATATATCCCTCTTTTCAAGAGAAACAGGACTTTCATGTTACATCAAATATTTATATATTAAACATTATTTAATATGAATAAAATGTAAAAAAATGTGACAAATTAAGAATTAATTTTTTTGCGTGGCATTTTAACTGTGAATATCATAATACTGTTAGCTGTTCCTCCAATAAAATTCACATATTTTTATTCAGGGAAGTCTCATGAGTAAAATAGCACCCCCCAAGTACAGGTTTTATAGTGTTTTGGAAAGTTACAGGGTCCAATTTAGCACATTACATTTCTTAGTTTATACACATTGAAATTTGCCAGACTTGTTATGTTGCATTTGAGACCGTCTGGTAACCCAGGAATGAAAATTAACCCATGATAGTATACCATTTGCAAAAGTAGACAACCCAAGGTATTACAAATGGGGTATGGCCAGTCTTTTTTAGTAGCCACTTAGTCACAAACACTGGTCAAGTTAGCATTTTAATTTGTATGTGTGTGAAAAATGCAAAAAACAGATTTGAACGCTAATTATGGTCAGTGTTTGTGACTAAGTGGCTACTAAAAAGACTCAACATACCCTATTTGCAATACCTTGGGTTGTCTACTTTTGCAAATGGTATGCCATCATGGAAGTAATTCTCATTCCTGGGCTACCATACGGTCTCAAAGGCAACATAACCAATTTGGCAAATTTGTATGTGAAAAAATGGAAGTACAATTCTTATATTACACTCTGTAACGTTTGAAAACACCATAAAACCTGTACATGGTGGGTACTTGTGTTTGAAAAATGCAAGAAAATGCACTTTGACAGACAATATCATTGTTTAACAGTTTTGAAACACTATTATTTGTGTTCAGCGAAGTCTCCTGAGTAAAACAGTACCCTCCTATGTACAGGTTTTATGGTTTCTTGGAAAGTTACAGGGTTAAATAGAGGGTTTGCGAACCATATTCTCTGGACTTTCTGCCTGGGTTGTCAGGCAAGTCCCTCAAACAGTAATTAATTAAATGACTTAATAATGTAAAAATATTATATAAATATATATGTAGAATTTAAATATATATTTTAATTTTATTAAAATACACTTAGAATAATAGTCTATGTGTGAGTATGTGCATATAAAAGTACTTAGATCATATATATGATCTAAGTACCTTAATTTACTTTATTAAACTTTTTTTAACTTTTACTAACTTTTAAAACTTTTTTGCTGTCAGCAGGGGGACAGCCTGAGAGCACACTTCATGAGCAGGCTATTCCGGCCATGTGACCGCAAGGACCCTGCGATCACATGGCCCTGGAGGGCCAGATCATGCAGAAGGGGGCTGAGTGGGCTCCCAGGCAGCCCCCTGGATCGCAACCACCAAGGTGGGATTGGCGGGATTTTCTATGCCGCCCCCGGCATTTTGGACCAGCCAAAAAAGGACAGCATAGAACGCCCGCCATCCTTAAGGGGTTAAATAAGTTTCTTTATCTTTTATTTTATATATTACTCTATTATGTTTCTCTTTTTTCAGTTTATTAGTCATTAGTGCTTCTGGCTTGTTGCCCTTTAGATACCACTTAGATTGTAAGGGCAACAAGCCAGTTCTTAACTGGTTGTTCATCTGTTTTTCTGTTTCTGCAATCTTCCTTGCTATTTGTGTGCAGGGTGTTATTTTATTCTGCTTTTTGTAATGACTTAGTGTTATATATATAGCTTGAAAAGAGGCGGTATTCCTTTTTTATTTGCGTTGGATGCCATTTTTATCATGTGTCCTCTAACTACGCTTTTATAAGCACACGAGACTGTGATATCTGGTGTGCCTTTATTTTTATTTTCTAAAAAGAAAAGATTGGGTATTTTCTTAATCTCTTCAACATTATTCATTTTATGTAGTATATCATCTTTTAAACGCCAGTCTTTTCAGAAAGTGTCTTTATATTCTAACATAATACGGCTGTTATCTGACCATGCTATATCATGTATCTCTATTCTTTTAACTAGATATAGCATGGTCACGTTTTCCAAAAGAATTTTTTCTGTAATAAGAGTTAATTGTTCTAGAATAGCATGTATAATCTAGATCAGAGGGATGAAATGTTCTCCATATATCTCTCAAATTATAATTATTCAGTAAATTTTACATGCTATTCTCACTTGCTTTCCTACTCTTTCGGTTATTCAGTTAGGCTCTTTCTATCTTTCAGAGGGTCAACTACGCAGTTGAAGTTCCCCTTAATTAGTATCAATCCTTGTTTAATCTGCTCAATTTTCTTAAAGGCATTTGTAATAAAGTTTATTGTAGATTTGTTTGGTGTGTAGATGTTAGCTATTGTGAATAGTTTATTGTTTATTTCACATACTAAAATGATGTATCGGCCTTCTGGGTCTAGTTCCTTCATGTTCAATATTTAGGGGAAAAAAACTTCTAACATTAATGTCACACTTTTTTTTTTCTTTTTTTTTTTCAAAGCCACACTTGTAATGATGGGGTATCTTGTTGAACCTATTTTATTTTTATTGGATTTTATCCAGTGGGTTTCTTGAAGGGCACAGATTTGTACCCAATGTTGTCAAGAAATCTAAAATTATAGACCTTTTACAGGGTGTGTTGATCCTGCGGGCATTTATTGAATTTAAGTTAAATTACAGTTTTCTATCAGTTCTCGGGGCTCTCTCTCTCCAAAAATTACTGTGGATTTATTAAAAACAAGAAAACAATCTTTATTTGTGTTTACATAAAAATACGACGGGTTTTTCCAAAAATGTTTAATCAATCTAAGACATAAATTTTGTATTGCAAAAAAACCCGCCATACAGTGTCTCAAGTAATACAGAACATTACTCGGAATGGGTCCCACATGTCGTGTGGAAAAAAGCGTGCTGAGGGTATATGATCTATGGAGGGCCAACCGTAAGGCACTCCTGGAAAAAAAACTAATGGAAAGGAGTAGGGACAAAAGAAGACCCCACTAATCTAAACCACGAACACCTTTCAGCTTATTATTGACTCAATCATTATATAAGTGTTTCTACTCACTATTACTTTATTTCCTCATCATGCAAAACGTATATTATAACTAATCTAACCTCTCTATTAAATATTTCATTTCTTTTCTTTTTTTCCTTCCTCTTTTTCTGTCCCCTTTCTGTTTCCCTTTTTTTGTTTTCCTTGTGTAGGTGTGTACCTTTCTGTGTCACTATATCTTCCTTTTGTTCTTAATGTTTATTTAGTGTGCATTTTTGTATTATTTCGTTCTTAATTACTGTGGACCTTTATATGAGGGTAATTATACTTCACTTCGTGCATTGCTTAACTTGTTACCTGTGTACTTAATCAATTTCCTAGACTCTCCTTCCCAGAGATTCTTAAGTTGTTCCATCTTGACCTATCTTCCAGGTTTATCAGTTTGTTCTCCATGTCAGATATTTTTTTTCTAGTGCCAGGTGTTCTTCTTTGTGGACTTTTTCTTGTATTCCATCCCGTTTAATTTCTCTTCTATCCCTTGTATTTGTAGATTAAGAGTCAGCAGTTCTTTCTTAATGTCCAGGGTATTAACTTGAATTTCTTCTCTTAATTTCCCAAATTATGTATCAAGGTGCCTGAGTAGGTGGTCATATTCATTTTTTCTTTCTCTTGACTCTTGATTTTCCTCAGTTTATCCTTTATTAATATATCCCTCTATTGGGATATTTGACAGGAGAGATTCCTCCAGGTTTGACTTATTACCTGGAGGATGTGGTGAAAAAAAATAAAGGCGTTTTTCTGTTTTGTTTTCGAGTTTCTTTTCTTTTTTCAAATGCATGCCATGTTGTGTCTTTTTAGTAGCCATTTTGTTTATTGCTTTATTTACTCTCTCTCTAGAAATAATAAACTCTTTGGAATAGTGCTATCTTTGATTTTGGTATGATATTCCTTTTGTCCTTAACATTTCTTTCTGGACCCCTTTTCCTCTTCACCTTCCTACCTGCCTTCTTGTCTCCACTTTTATACTCCGTTATATTTTATCTTTCTTTTTCTATTTCACGTTCACTTATTCCTGCTTTAATAGAGTAGTGAATTCAGTACGAAAAATAGAAAAAATAAGGACGGAGTACAAGGGGGCTGGGAGGAACAGCAAGAGAGAAAAACCAAACCAAAAAATAAATAAGTTTAAAAAATATTTTAAAAAAGTCAAACAAAAACCAAGAGGAAAATTAACACAACCGGCTTAACAAAGGTCAGGAAATTAGCTCAGCACTGTGGGCAAGGTTGAATGAACTTTAAATCATATATTGCCCACTGAGTTCTGATCTTTATGTTGTCCGACATTTTCCCCTCTTTCTCAAGGGTCTTAAGTATTCAACTGACCACAAATTTAAACTGCATTATTTTTACATTTCGCTACTGACTCTACACATGCATTTTAATATCATTGGGCACTTAGCGTTTTGAAATACACTCTGGATCTGGTTTATTTCCTCCTGCTGTCTTTATTCATGGAGGAGTTAGCTGTATTGCATAGCTCTGTCAAGCACAAAGGTAAATAGCTCCCTTCTTCTTAGCCCAGCATCGGGTCCTCTTTGGTCGTTATGTGGGGATCTGTAAAGCCCCAAAGTAGCATGCCATGTAGATCGAGCCATCCTTTCAGTTCTTGGTCGGCTCCCTCGATCGCCCCCTCAGCCGCATTCCACGAGGACGCACACTACGCATGTTACCTCATCGCTCCACCCCCTCCCGGCACACAATCCTATTCACAAAATTTAACCACCCACTGCGACATAGTATTTAGTACAAAGTACTACAACAGGTAGTGACATGTATGGCTTAATTGTATAATTAATTAAATATTGAAACTAAATAATTGGAGATCATTAATGTTTTTATCTCAGGGCTGATTAGGTATAAAAATATGGATGTGACTGAATGGCACATATACTGTCTGAGTGGGTAATGTACACAGTGATAGGAATGTAGCATCACATTAAAAATAAAATAAAGGACTTACTTTTAGCATCATGACTTTGTAGGCATAAAACCTTTTCCCCTTTCCTTTACCAAGTGCCCCTTCAAATTTCTCGACAAACTCCTGCGCATCCCTAAAATATGCAACAACAATATACAAATGTGCTACATATCAATGCAATTGAATTAAAAGGTGAACCAAATTTAAATGCACTGACCCACATTGTACTTTATGAATCAAAAGCCAAGAACCTGCCAAATACACATTACACATGACACTGTATGTTCGATTACCCCCTTCACTATCAACTTTTTATTTGCTCAGACTTCAGTGGCTGTCTCTTGCTCACCTGTGGTTGTACTAAAGTTGGCTGAATGTTTCCCCTCATAATATCTAAAGTACATACACAGTATATATTAGGAACTTAAAATATTTTGCAAAGGCTGGGTTAAGGGATTTACAGAATCTGTAAGGTAGGGGTAAAATGATGGGAATATGGGTAAAGGATTTTATGGAAGAAGGATAAGAGAAAAAAAGTCTGTTTGATTAGGAAGGTGAGCAGGTGGTTAAGGGGGAGCATAACAATGTGTTAGTGGGTTAGAAAGGTTGTGTGTCAAATTGAAGAGCTATTATTGAGATTACTCCACAGAGTAAGGGAATAAGGAAGTTGTGTACCAGATTGGGGAAGGATTATGTTGGTTATATGCCAGGCTTTCAGAGTTTAGTGAAGTTAGGAGTTGGCAAGGAAAAATCAAGGGGTTGACTGGCAGACAGGGAATAAATCAGTGAAATTAGATGGTAGGTTTCGGAGATATCAGCAAGATTCGGGAGATTAAGTGTGGATTGAAGTGTTTGCATGCCACAAGATTAATTTCATTAAATATCATACACAGCCTCTCTCAATTCCCCTAGCATGCTACAGTATGAGACCAAGTAAGGAGATACATATAAGGGTAAGGAGAGACACAGAAGAAATTAATTGGGAAAGGACAGACATAAACTGAGATAAGGCACAAAGGAAAGCAGAGAAACAAAAGGGGGTGAAAGGAGAAGAAGAGAAACACAAGAGTGTAACTGGGATATGAAGACACACACAATGAGTCAATGTGACACACACAAGAGAGTTAGGAAGTAGAAGAAAAATAGGGAATAGATGAACTATTTAAAAAACATTCTGGAGGGTGCCAGCAAAAGACTCCAACCCAGGGCCTCTGAGTGCTTTACAAGTAACATAGAATCATAGAATGTGACGACAGATAAGAACCATTCGGCCCATCTAGTCTGCCCAATTTTCTAAATAGTTTCATTAGTCCCTGGCCTTATCTTATAGTTAGGATAGACTTATGCCTATCCCACGCATGTTTAAACTCCTTTACTGTGTTAACCTCTACCACTTCAGCTGGAACGCTATTCCATGCATACACTGCCCTCTCAGTAAAGTAATACTTCATGATATTATTTTTAAACCTTTGCCCCTCTAATTTAAGACTATGTCCTCTTGCTGTGGTGGTTTTTCTTCTTTTAAATATAGTCTCCTCCTTTACTGTGTTGATTCCCTTTATGTATTTAAATGTTTCTATCATATCCCCCCGTCTCATCTTTCCTCCAAGCTATACATGTTAAGTTCCTTTAACCTTTCCTTGTAAGTTTTATCCTGCAATCCATGAACCAGTTTAGTAGCCCTTCTCTGAACTCTCTCTAAAGTATCAATATCCTTCTGGAGATACGGTCTCCAGTACTGCGTACAATACTCCAAGTGCGGTCTCACCAGAATTCTGTACAATGGCATGAGCATTTCCCTCTTTCTACGGCTAATACCTCTCCCTATACAACCAAGCATTCTGCTTTAATTTCTTGCTGCTCTATTACATTGTCTTCCTACCTTTAAGTCAACTGAAATAATTACCCGTAAATCCCTTTCCTCAGATGTTGAGGTTAGGACTCTCTCAAATATTCTGTACTCTGCCCTTGGGTTTTTATGTCCAAGATGCATTATCTTGCACTTATCCACATTAAATGTCAGTTGCCACAATTCTGACCATATTTCTAGTTTACCTAAATCATTTGCCATTTGGCTTACCCCTCCTGGAACATCAACCCTGTTACATATCTTAGTATCATCAGCAAAAAGACATACCTTACCATCAAGACCTTCTGCAATATCACTAATAAAAATATTAAAGAGAATGGGTCCAAGTACAGATCCCTGTGGTACCCCACTGGTGACAAGCCCATGCTTCAAATATACTCCATTGACAACAACCCTCTGTTGCCTGTCACTCAGTCACTGCCTTACCCATTCAACAATATTGGAATACAAACTTAAAGATTGCAGTGTATTGATAAGCCTTCTATGTGCAACAGTGTCAAAAGCCTTACTGAAATCTAGGTAAGCAATGTCTACTGCACCACTCTGATCTGTTATTTTAGTTACCCAATCAAAAAAATCAATACGATTAGTTTGGCACGATCTCCCTGAAGTAAACCCATGTTGTCTTTGATCTTGAAATCCATGTGATTTAAGATGTTCAACAAGTCTATCCTTTAACATGGTTTTCATTACTCCCTAGTACCTTTCTTGTGAATGGGCACAACATGGTTTTCATTACTTTTCCATTACTGAAGTAAGGCTTACTGGCCTATAGTTGCCCGACTTCTCCCTACTACCTTTCAATCTTTTGGGACTACTCCTGCTAACAATGATTGGTTAAATAAATCTGTTAATGGTTTTGCTAGTACACCACTAAGCTCATTTAATAACTTTGGGTGTATGCCATCAGGTCCCATTTACTTATTTGTCTTTACTTTTGACAGTTGAAATAGAACCTCTTCCTCTGTAAACTCACATGTAATAAATTACTTATTTGTCCTTTTTCCTAACTGAGGCCCCTTTCCTTCATTTTCATCTGCAAATACTGAACAAAAATATTAATTGAGGCAGTCAGCTAGCTCTTCTACATACCTTCCTTCTTTTGTTTTTAATCTAACTAATCCTTGTTTTACTTTTCTTTTCTCATATATGTATCTAAAAAATGTTTTGTCCCCCTTTTTTACTGACTGTGCTATTTTCTCTTCTGTGTGTGATTTGCAAGTTTTTATAACTTGCTTATTTCAGTGTTTCCTGACTAATTATGTATAATTTGAATTTGCCTAAATAGACTAACAGAAAACAATTGATAAGCACAGTGAGAACATAGTAACAATTATTAAATGTTTTATAATGATCTACATTGTGAACAAAGTAAATAATCATTTATAAAAACAGTTTGTGAAGTTAGTGCTCAACATCAAACATTGATAAGCAGGGCCAGATTAAGAGCCAATTGGGCCTGGTTCTGACAATTATGACAGGCCTAATTACAAAACCATATCAATAGAAAACACTAAAACAGTCATACCTCCCAAGCGTCATGTATCTGGTGGAGGTGGTGCAGAAGGGAAACTCTCTAAAGCCTTCCATTAGTTAACCACCAAAACAAGTTCTCCAAAGCTGCTACCTCTTGCATCTATTCCCTTATTTCCAGAACATTACTTCTTATCCCTTCCTTATTATGACCTAAGACCACTTCTTGCCATATTCCAGTAGTCTTCTTTCTTCACTGTCTTTACTGTGAAGAACCTCAAATCTCAATTATTTAAAATAGTTTACTACTTATTTTTCTAACCTGCACTTTTGCAATATGAAAATATCCACAACCTAGACAGTACATTTCTCATGATATACACCAAATGTTTCTTTTCAAATCATTCTCTCATAGCAAAGTACCATATAATGATTGTCAGTGCCCCTTAACTGACCTTGGTACCCAATTCTGTTAATAGTAGAAATCAGTATCTCATTAAATACAGATCTTCCTACTCCTGATCGGTTGCTATCATATCTTCAGTCTCTGTAATTTGAAGACAGGGATGTACCATTCATGAGAAGAAGACATTGCTTGTAGTGCAATTCTCTATTTCATCGTAAGTCTCTGGTGATTGCACTGGGTTCCTCACTAGCAATGGGCAGCAATTTATTCAGTAAAATGAATATCATTAGCATAAACTAATTCTCATGGCCAGTAATTTCCACTAACATGTTTTCCTGGCACTGGAGAATCCCTTTTATTGTAACAACATCAAATTGCATATTTATAACTGTTTCATACTTCTCTATTTTGTTGGTTGAAGTCACTAGCAGATATGTTAATTGCTATCTATTGCTAAATATAAATATACAGTACCAGCTGAGGAAGCACTTACTTGAGAACCTCCAATTTCTGTTTCATCTTCCAAGGTTTGTTTCTTATTGTAGCAATCAGCTTCTTTTTCTCTTCTACGGCCTCTTTTAATTTGTCAAGTTCTTCTTCAGTAATTTCGTCTTCATCTGAGTCAGAACTAAAAGACACTTCCATCACTTTAGTCACTCATATCTTTTGGGGTTTTTTTGAATTTTTTTTTTGGTTCAATCCTCAAGTATATGTTCATGACATAAGGGCAAAAAGAAAGGTATACACCATGACGTACATACCAATGTGAGATACAGATATATATTACACGTTTCAAACAAGGGATTGAAATATATTTTTTGCACTCTTGCTATAAGACACATATAACTGTGCTCCAGGTAAATGCATATCCCTCGACATGGAGAAGTGATCATCCCATCTTCTGGATTAGGACTGTTTCTGAGAACATAGGTAATATACTGTACAAGCAGACCAACATTAAATTGCATTAAGCCTACTGGGCAGTCTAGGCTGTTGATCTCTTACCACTTTCTTTGTCATTCCTTAACTCTATTTTTGTTGCTAAAACTTTGTTTAAAACACTTTTTCCACATCTCTCATTCTCCATTTTGCTTCACATACCGGCTACTAAGTATGTGGTGTATCCACAAATAATCCCTTAATTAACTTATTATAAAATTGGTTAGAGAAAAATCATATTCTAAAGTGAAGTTATATGTGTGGTATTTAACTAATTAATTATTTTTTAGAACATTTTAGAATTATGGTTAACTTGCCATACCACTTATGCCTGTGTGTACCTTATTGTAGGCGCTAAAGCTTATCCTACTAGTTTTCAAACTGTGGCGTACCTGCCATTCTGTATCTTTGGGATTGTCTCTGGTTTAGGATCCCACTTTGGCTTCCTCTGTAAATTTTTGTTCAAGATGACTCTAATTTTGTCAGCACTGCCTTGGATGAGCTTTAACTCAACTCTCATTAAGAGTGACCTATAATTAATTTTGCTATAAATGTTTATATTTTTTTTTCCTAAACAGGGTTCAATAGAAGATATAAAAAGAAGTGGAATAGTAACTGAACTGTGGTTAATGCAAGGTTTTGATAAGAAATAAGGCAAGTCAAGTGTTAAAGAAACAATCATAAATACATTGAAACCATGTGCTGTTGTAAGTGCAAGAATCCCCAAAAGGGCAACTGAATGATCAAGAGCTATATATTTATAGTCTGTGACCTATTGCTATTGATCAACATCATTCTGACACACATATAACATACTGGTGTACATACCATCCCTGTAGGATCACTAATGTGCTAACATATTGGCTAAAACATTGTTCTATAAAAATAGACTGGCTGCAGGGGAAGGGAGGGGGGAGAGAGAAATAGAGGGTCTGCAAGGGGGAGAGAGACACATGGAGGGGCAAGAGTGGGGGAGGGAGAAAGACACTTGGATTGGCTTGTGGGTGAAATTAGACACATGGAGAATCGGGAGGAGCAAATGAGACACTTGGGAGGGAAATGAGACATATGGAGGGTTGAGAGTGGAGGAGGATCAGGCCCGGACTGGCCATCGGGCATGCCGGGCAAATGCCCGGTGGGCCGCGATGGCCGTGGGGCCGAGGCCGGCAGGGAGATCACAGGATCTCCCCTGCCAGCCCCTGCAGGGCCAGCGCTACCCGAGCGCCGGCCCTGCTGTGTGCCTCCATGGGCCGGTGGGGAGATCAAAGATCTCCCTCACCGGCCCAGAGGCATGGAGATGCGGCTGCCGGCTGGGGAGTGAGGGAAGGAGAGAGGACCCGGCGGAGCTCTAACCCACAGCTCCGCCGGGTCCTCTCGCGGGATTCTGAGCGTTGCCGTGGTTACCGTTACCGCGGAAACGCTCAGATCTCGCGAGAGTGAACTCTAGCCTGCAGGTTAGAGTTCACTCTCACCACTGGACCACCAGGGAAGGCAGCATGGCTCCCCACCCCCCAGGCAGAACAGATCTCCTCTCCCCCCCCAGGATAAAGGTAAGAAGGGAGGGGGGGATATAATTTTTTTTATTAATAAAGAATATATATTTAAATTTAAATAAAAAATACGTTCACTCACGCACACAGCACCCAGACACAGCACCCAGACAGACACACACAGCACCCCCAGACACAGCACCCCTAGACACAGCACCCAGACAGACACACACAGCACCCCCAGACACACACAGCACCCAGACAGACACACACAGCACCCCCAGACACACACAGCACCCAGACACACACACACAGCGTCCCCAGACACAGCACCCAGACAGACACACACAGCACCCAGACACAGCACCCCAGACACACACGCAGACAGACACACACAGCACCCATACAGACACACACACAGCACCCCAGACACACAGCACCCAGACAGACACACACAGCACCCCAGACACACACACACAGCGCAGACAGACACACACACAACCCCAGCACACACAGCACCCAGACACACACAGCACAGACACACACATACACACCCCACCACACAGCACCACCCAGACACACACAGCACCCCCAGACACACACAGCACCCAGACACACACAGCACCCAGACAGACACCACACACAGCACCACACAGCACCCCCAGACACACACAGCACCCAGACAGACACACACACAGCACCCCAGACACAGCACACACAGCAAGACAGACACAGCACCCCAGACACACACAGCATCCCCAGACACACACAGCACCTAGACCACACAGCACCCCCAGACACACACAGCACCCCACACCCCCACCCACACACCCCGACACACACAGACCCCAGACACACGGCACCCCACCACACACACACACACCCCACAGCACACACACACAAAGCACACCCACACACACAGCACCCCAGACACACACAGCACCCCAGACACAACCCCAAACAGACACAGCACCCCAGACACACACAACCCCAGACCACAGCACCCCAGACACACACACACAGCACCCAAACACACACAGCACCCCCAAACACACACAGCACCCAGACACACACAGCACCCCCAGACACACACAGCACCCTCACTCACACACACAGCACACTCACACACACATACAGCACACACACACACACACACACACATATATATATATGAAATAACCCTCAGTGAGTTAACAGACAAAGAAAATTAGAAACCTAGAATTTGACAGCAGATAAAAACATCCTCACACACAGCACCCCTCTTACATACACACACTGCGCCCCTCACACATACAATAAGTCCAAATGTATATATATATATACACACACTCATAGGCGTGCACACGGGGTGTGCCAGGTGTGCCTGGGCACACCCTAATCCCGGCGGCACGCCTATGGATTGAGACCGGCAGGGGAGTTCTCAGGATCTCCCCTGTCCGCTCATGCAGAGCCAGCACTATCAGAGCGCTGGCTCTGCTCTCAGCCTCCCTCCCCACTGCAGCATGCAGGAACAAGAATCCCCCCTCCCTTCATAAGGTAAGAAGGGAGGGTGGATATTAAGTAATGTACCCCCACCTCCACCCCCCACAATCACCCACACACATACACACCCACACACATACAGCACACACATACAGCACCCACATGCACACACACACAGCACCCTTGCACACACACACAGCACCCTTGCACACACACACAGCACCCACACACATACAGCACCCACACACAGCACCCACATACACAGCACCCACATACACAGCACCCACATACACATAACCCACATACACATAACCCACATACACAGCACCCACATACACAGCACCCTTGCACACACACAGCACCCTCGCACATATAGCACCCTCAAACACACAGCACCCACACACATACAGCACCTTCGCGCACACACACAGTACCCTCGCACATACAGCACCCACAGAGCACACTCAAACACACAGCACAGAAACAGCACCATCACAAACACACACACAGCACACTAACAGGACCCTAACAAACACACACACACAAACACCCTCACAGCACCCTCACACACACCACCCTTACACACAAAACACACTCAAACCACCCTCACGCAGCACACACACACAGCAGTGTATGTATGTGTGTATATATATATATATACACACACACACACATACCCAGATACACACACACACACACACACATACACACACACACACACATACACATACGCGCGGTGTGTGTTTGTGCTTTAGGGTGCACACCCTAATGCAATAGGCTGCGCAAGCCTATGCACACACTTGAGGCAAAGTTTTGAATCATCATCCAATGAGTAAAATATAATGAGATATTTACAGTTTGACAGATAAAATTATCAGATCACTTTATTTCAAGCAAATTGAAACTGCGTTGATCCAAATGGATCCCTGCTACGGATCTTTTTTTTAAAATATCTCATTGCCACAGTGATATATGAGTACAGTTCCCTTGTCTGTAGTAGGAGCACTGGCTCCAAGAAATTCAGTTACACTTTGGTTGCAATTCTGCTGTCTGGGAATAGCTAATGTAGACTAGAATTGTTGTTCCTATTGAGGAAAACTTTTCTAGAGAGAGATTGGTTTGACTATGACCATAAAAAAAACTTCCCAAAAGTACTAAGATTCATGGGACACATTTTCAAATCTGGTCATGCCAGAGATATTTTATAGGTGAGTGAAACTCTACTCCCATACTACAGTTTGTAAAAATTATCAAAAATCTTTGACAAAGTCTTGACTATAAAAATTTTTTGGATATGGTATACAATTGAAAAAAAATCTTTTGATTTTTTTTTTCTCAAATATTGATATATTTTGTATATGACATATTTTCTGATATTTTAATATGTTGAAAAATCATTTGAAACGTTTATCCCAAAAATATAGCAATCATGTAAAACGTTTATCCAAAAATATCAAATAGAGGCCAAAGTAAGTAACCCACTTGATAAACATGTATGTTATATGCAGCACATTCTTAAGCATTTTCTAAATATCTTAATGCACTACATAGACCAATAATATATCTTTCTACAGTACGCCCTCCGGGATCTCGCAAACCTCAATCATTGGGATAGTAATGATAACTAAAAAATCAAAGAATAGCTAACCTTGTGTTATTCTGTAAAGCGATATGCAAAGTCTTTATTTTATAATTCCTTTTATAAATGATCACTGTATCTGAATAAGTCAGACA